AAGAAATAAAATTAATAGTTGCATTTCTTTGTTTAGCAATTCTATTTTTACTTCATTCAACAGTTTACAGGATTCATGTACCAGTTTTTCTACTAATAACAATTGGATGTGGTCTTCATGAATTTAGAGCTGATGATGAACAAAAAATAATGACCACCTTGTATGATGCTATCCATTCCCTCTGGCTTAATCCATTGTACAAGAACTTTTGATATAAAACATAAAAGCTACATCTTAAAACTTAAATTTCAGTTTGATAAAGCAACAGTTCTACCGTGTTCACTGCCACAGTGTTTGTGCAGTGATCCATAATAAGCATCCATATATCAGTCTTCATTCTTTACAATAACTACATGAGAAAGGTCTGATGAGATGTGCAGAATCCGACACATCTGGACAACTTACCTTGAAGTTCACTTTTAATAAGGCAACTCTCCATCATGTAGAGGAGGACTGTGACCATTATGTCCAGCAGGTGACACTCCTCGGTCATGTGTCGAGCCAGCTCCTCATTGCTGAACAGCTGCACGCTGATATGTACGATGCGATTAGACATGGTGTCCGACTCGTGGCTTTTCATCAGCGTTTTCATGATGAATGCATAATGCTGAACAAATGTTTTTGTAAAGGTGATCTGCCACAGAGGAAAAGGGAAAACCCCAAAACACAATTTAAGCTGAATGCTACGATTCTGTCGCTCTGTAAGTATAATTTCAATTCACCAAGACATCTGAGAGGGAAACTAGAGCAACACAAGACATATTTGTGAATAAACACAAACACAGAAAAGAAATACCTTGTAATCTTGATCTGGCAACATGTTTAGTAAGAAGGTGACCATCTTCTGAGGAAACTCGTACTTTATTGTCCAAAACAGCAACTCCTCCAGAAAGCATTTATGCTTCAGAGATTCAATAATCCTTGGGTCTGAGGGCAGAAAAAAGACACGTTATAAAATAGGTAATTCATGTTAAATGTTTTGATGCATCACATTTTCTTTACATTTTTACCTTTGGTACTGCTACTCAGCTTAACCCTCTTCCTCTGACCAACAGATTGCCCTGCATCTTGATCTTCCTGGGAGTAAAAAAAACAAAACACTTACAGTAACTTTAACTGTACATCAGTTCATATCAGGTTAAGCTTCAGTGGATCTGTTCAATTGTGATTGGTATCATTATTTCTTCACATATAATAGATGATTTAATCATACACTAATAACAAATGACAGAATACACTTTTGAAGCCTGAGCGTAAATTGAACAGAAAAGGGTGAGTAAGGTTTTCTGTGTTTGATGCTGACACGAACCTCTTTACTAGACTCATCTGGGCCCCCTGGTGCAGTGGTTCCTAAAATAAATACAATCTCACATAAATAATAAACCAATATTTGATTTTAATAAAATAAAACAAAGTATCAATTAGCAGCATCTTAAGACATTGGACAAACACAAAGCAAATTTCTAAAATAAAACAGTTTTCAAAAATGACAATTTGTTCAAACAGCAGTTTTCAGCATTGGTTAAAACGAGACGTGACAAGTTCACATTCAAAATCACTTCCTCAAAGTTTGATCTCTCTGGCAGTAATGTCTGACAATAACTTATTATTTCTGGCAAGTAAAAGACTTTGACCCCTGTGAGGAATGCATGCAAATGAACAAGGATATGTTATTTCCAGTGGCTGACTGATGATGAAAATATGCTTCAAATGTTAACATGCTAAATGTTATCTTACCCAATAGGGCCATGGCCCCTGCACCTCCTTCTGCACCAACAGTGACATCAGCAGCAGCACCTTGAGTTTTCTCCTCCACAGACACCAGACCTGAATTCTTTAACGCTGACAAATACTTGTCATAGTTCTTTTTTGCGTACAAATTCTCCTCTTGGCCTGCAACAAAGAAGAAAAACACTGGACACTGTAACAACAAGTGTTGAAATCTCAAGATGAAGAAAACTTAATTTGAAGCAAGTGTGCAGAATTTGAGGAAAAGGGAATTTTTTTTTCAATTATTTTATTGGTTAATAGTGATGCTCAATTTGAGTACATGTTTTATTTCTGGTTTTGTCTTTTTATATAAGTCTTTGAATAGATCAAGCACAGTCTGCATTTTCCAAGCGAGTAGCACTTGTACTGCAACAGATGAGAATAAGACCTTAGAGAGAAATTACAAACAATTTTTTATTTCAATTATTGTGATCTCACTTTATGTTGTTTTAGAATAAACTCGATGGTAGATATTTACCCATGCTCAACTCTTTGAATGTTTGCTGATTGGTCAAGATCTTCGTCAGCACAGTCCTCATTGCTCCTCCCATCTTCGTGAGCTCCTCCAGGAAAGAGATCTGAGGCTCCAGCTGCTGCAGGACTTTCTGTAGATCTCTCTCAGTTGAGGTGTCTGACAAAGCAAGATAACAGATGGAAGCCACGAGACTCAGTACGTTAACAGTTGTATAACACAACGGTATCTGTCTGACACAGCAGACCGTGTTTTGCATTTGATCTACTTTATGACACAAGTCATTTTTACTGGTGATTTGGTCACGATAATAGTCTTTAATGTAAGAAGGTCGTTGTTGTGAGTGTTTTCACCTGCTTCGGTGTATCCATCCCTCAGATACTGTATGATACACAGGATAAAGCGAGGCAGAACCATCTCTGACATCAAGAGAAGGTCTCGAGGTATTGAGGGGATATTTTCTCCTGTTCTCAATCGATGCCGTCTGCAAAATCTGAAAGAAACCAAACAAATGTTACTGTTAAAGAAAAATCATCAACAATAAAGTAGCAGATTCTCTCACAAATTTTTTTTTTTATTTAATTATTATTTAATTCTTCTGACCTACATGATCAGGGTAGAGGCTCAGTAATGATTATTATATTTCTTATTTTAGTTACTTTCTCAAGAGTTGGGTATTGGTGTTGGGTTGATGTTGAAAGTTGTTAGGATTTGGTGAGTAAACAGGAGGTATTTTTAATCTCTGTAAATACACATAGTATGATGCATTGCAACACACAGACTACTCCATCTTTGCTCGTATTGCTTAAGACTACACAGTAACTGCTACACACAAATCAGTCAGCTGCAAAGTGAGCCCAAGTTATTATTATAACTATATTAGGTGGCCATGCTAAAATGCCTGGGTGGTCATTTTTTATTCTTTTATGACTGACTTGAATTGTTTTAGTGTTATTTTTATGTATTTCTGCTTGATTTTTTTCTTTGTGGAGCACTTGTAATATAAGTGCTATATAAATAAAGACATGATCATTATTATTTCAAATAAAAGTACCAGGTGGGCCACTGTCACTGTCACACTATAATGTGTTCGTCCATCTCTTTAACACAGACAGCATCATCACAAATGGAGATCTGGCAGACAGGCAGAGGTCTCCACTGTTCATATAACCCTGATCATCTCGATCTGTAGCAATCACTCAGTCTTTCAGATTATAAACGACACAACGTGCAGACTCATGTTTGTGTCCCAACATTGTCCCAGGGATCAATTGAAACCTCCAGTTGAGGCAACGAGCCTGACATTAATGTTTTGGTAGTAAAGGCTGAGCTGGTGAACCTTCCAGGCTCAGCTGCTGTAGCGAAGCTTTTCTGAGAACAAATTATTAAAATATCAGAACATTCAAACGTGTCGAACACAAAATGACCGACGAGGGCGCAGCAAATATCCAAGTTGGACTATTTCCAGCCGAGAGCTGTCAAAGCGACACCCGGCTAAACCCGTTCGTTAGCTAGCACTCGCTAGCTTAGCTCGCAGCTAATTCGGTCTTACCCAGTCTCTCGCATGACATTACTGTCTCCACAGTCGCAGGCCCCGCCAGCCTGGCTTCGGAACATGTTGAAATCATGGCCCGTGTGGTCTCCGTTGTTGAAGCACTCGGCGCACAGGGACATACACGGGGAGATGCCACAGGTCCGGCATCGATAAGCCACGAAATTGGCGGTCCACACCAAGCCGCACAGGGTCGCGTTGTCATAGGACCGGACCGTTTTGCAGAACTCCTCGAAACCTTCGCCTCCTGCAATGAGACATTTGCACCAGTCCAGAGCCTCCGTGTCCGCCGCGGGTTTCTCGGGATCTAGCACATCGTCGAGCAGCTCCTGGAGTTGCCCGACCCCGCTGGTATCGTCGGTCCGGGCTAGGTCTGCCTTCAAGTGGACGGCAGTGGTTTTCTTGTCCCGGCGCAGCAGCGACGCCGCCATCATGCACTCTGGCTTGTTGTCCACAAATTTATTTTTGTTGTCCTGTTTCCATGTTCTCGGGCTTTCTCGCGATACGACCCGTCGCCCCGCCGTTGGCTGGCGGACTCCCGACGATCTGTCAGTGTACGATGAATGCAGAGAAATGTGCTGCGAAGGATTTTAATCCGGCTGAGCCTGGAACAGGTATTTGATCCAGCAGAGTCTGAGCTGACGTCTGATCAGGTCACACACAGTCACCACAGGGCTGTTGTGTTTGCGTGTTTCTAGGCAACTGATAACCTTGTGTGGGATCATCATCATCATCATCATCATCATATAAACACACATAAGGTGCATCTTTCAAACCAATATGACTTGATATTAGTTCCGTATATACATCATTATTATAATTTTCTCGTTCTATCTGTGTGCATCTATAATTTTCCCCCTCTGTGTGTGTAAGTGTGTTTGGATATGTTTATGCATACACGTATTTGTATTCATATACTTCTAATATTATCGTTTTCTCTCTTTCTCTGTGTATCTATGCTTTTTTTAGAATCTGAATCAGAATCCTTTATTGTCAATGTTCAACATTGTCACCAACATTAAAACAGTGAAAATTGTTTTAGCAGCTCTTCTTGTTACAGCAGCATTTATCTGATTTTTAGAAATCAGAACAAGAATCAAGATTCTCTCTGTGTGTATCTTTATATATATATTTATTTATTTCTCATTATTATTTTGTTCTCTCCCTGTGTGTGTGTAGGAACTACTACTTATTACAACAGGAACAGGAACAGGAACTATTGAGAGTGGTCTCGATCTGGTAGGATTGTTTTGAAGGATGCACACCCCTCAGCGGAAGTCGTCTGGAACCATGCTGAGTGTTTACACCCTCACAGATCTCAGATGAAGGAGATCGTGTGATCGCTGTGTTGTGGAGCAGGGTCCTCGCAGGTTGTTGGACGTCACAGTCTCCAGTCATGAAACTGAAAGAGCTGGAGAGTTGTCTTCAGCAGGTGGACGTGTTTGACGAACCAAAAATCCTTCTCGAGCAGTATCCAACCAGTCCTCATATTGCAGGTTGGAGCAGAAAACATGTGCTTGTTGGGAGAGTTTGTGTGGATAGATGTTGTCACTAACTTGTCGCTTCTTCTTCCTGCAGCATGCATGCTTTACACTATCCAGAACACATTTGAGGACATTGAGGGCAGACTGGTGGCAGATCTGGGATGTGGCTGTGGTGTCCTCAGCATCGGAGCTGCGATGCTTGATGCAGGGTGAGAGCTTTTGAATGTCCCCCACACGTTTGTTTTTAAAGTAGTTTCCCCTCCTCACCCTCCTGCTCTCTCCTCTGCAGTTTGTGCGTTGGCTTCGACATTGACAAGGACGCACTGGACATATTCAGAACAAATGCAGAGGAATTTGAGATTTCCAACGTGGATCTGGTCCAGTGTGACCTCTGCTCTCTGGACCCAGATACTTATGCTAAAAAATTTGACACAGTAATAATGAACCCACCGTTTGGGACAAAACATAACCAAGGTGAGGGCTCGTTTTTATAAGTGCTGCTCCCGGTGATTAAGTTTTCCACATCCATTAAGTTTGACAATCTGAATGATATATTTGCAGAGATTTTCATTTGAGATTAAAATACTTTGCATTCACTACGTGGCACAATACTGGTTTCCCAGTCAATATAATTTTNTATAGAAAAAGCAACTATTATTTGCCAATTTCCCCTTGTTCTATAACTTTGCTCCCAGTAACCAATCTTTTGTCTGATAACTTAATTTTTTAATCTTCATTCACTATGTCACATACAAAAATCCTCAATATCCTTAATCATTTCCTTATTGTAATACTTTGTGCTAAATCAGGCTATACCCTGATATTAATTGTACCCACATTGATTATGTGATTATACCCACATGATTGATTGGTCAGAGATTGTGTTGCCATAGTGACCCACAGCAGAGTGGCTCTCAGGTCTCTCATCTTCGTGCGTGAGTGTGCGAGAGACAGAGTGAAAAGTTAATATTCATATTTGAGCCCTACATGTTCCTTTCTCTCCTCCGTAGTTCCAGATGACCTCAGTCCAGAGGAGAGACAGGAGCTGGAGTGCATCCGCCGCAAAAAACAAGAGCTGCTGCAGGACATACAAGTAAGAACATCACTCATACATGACCTCATCTCTCTTACACTGTAGGCATGTCCTGAACTGATGATAAGGATCTGTGTCAGGGCCAGGGATGAGATTTGAAGGCATTTTGTCCAATCTGAATCCACTTCTGAATCCCCTTGTCAAATCCAAATCCCTGTGAATCCTACATTGAACCTTTTTAGTAGTTTGTTTTTTGGGGAATTTGTGTGATTTAGGGATTATTCAGCTGACAAGCATAATGACACTAATACAAACTACGGTAATGAACAATCAAAACCAAAAAATTGACATAAAGCTGAGTTGACAGCATATTTTGTCAGTGCGGTGTGACATTTTTTAACCCTGTTGTGACTCTGAGTTTCCCTTTAGATGTGTTTGCGCCGACTAGCCGGCTGTTAGAGAAGCCAAAGTGAAAGCACAGCCGCAATAATGATATTAAATATCATTCACTGAATATCAGTTAATCAAATCACGGACGTTTTGCATGGACAAAACAAACTCACTGTTGTTCTGCTGCAGGTCCCGTGGTCCCCAGGTCACAGTGTAACACAGAGTATTCATCCTCTTCAATTTATCAAAATGTTCTACTTGACTTCACTAATAACAGGGAGCTGTGAGTTCAATGTGCAGTTCCTCTTTATGTTGTATTTCACAGATTTGTAGTAAGCACCCTCCTGAAGTCTGGTGGACGTGCACACAGCCACTTCTTACTTGAACATGTTGGATGTTAGATATGTAATTGAATTAGGTGTTGTTTCTCCCACATTTATTGCATTTTAAATTTGTTAAGTAATGTTTTAGTTGGTCCACCATGTTTGTTTACAACAGCGTTGTGTAGAATATACTGTATCACTGATACCTGCACTGTCGAAGATTCAAAATCATTATCTTATATATATACATAGTTTTGAACAAGCAAACCAGATGTTCTCACTTAATATAGGAGTTCTACTAAGAAAAAATAAAACACACAATGGCGCACAACGCTAGATGTCAGACGGGCCATACAAGACCAACTAAAATGTCCCAGTGAAATCAAATGTCTTTATGCTGAATATGATAAAATCAAAAACATCTTACGAACAAAGGTACATAATCAATGCAGGAGGCACAATATGATACAGGGACTTAAAAAGGCTGAAAACTGATGCCAATCATTGCAAATTGTTTCTCTAGGTCGACATCCAGGTGGATTTCCTACGATTCTCCAAAGCCTGAAGCTTTCACTGGAATGGATTTAAGTTGTCTCTGCATTTTAACTGTTTATAATAAATGTTTCCAAAAAAGAAAAAAATCTCTGGTTGTGATCTTGTGACTAAGATCCGTTTTCCGTTTTGGCGACCTTTGCTGCAGGACCGTCGGCATCTTCTAGTTCTCTCTTTGGAGCTGCGGGTGCTGGAGAAGAAACACAGAGTACATTTATTTTTGTAAAGTCCATAATTATCTTGCCATAACAAGTTGGGAAATACTGAAGCTGCTGCACTTACCATCGTCTTCATCGTCACTATCAAATTTCGTCTTTTTGCCTTGGTACCGATTTCTGCCATGATCCCTCCCACCTCTTCCCCTTCGTCCTCCTCTTCCTCCTCTGCCACCTGATCTTCCTCTAAAACCTTTTGGACAAACAAGATGCATCAGTACAAACTAATCAATTCTGTAAATAACTGATGAGCTCATATGTTTAATTGATCAAATCATTCAGTTGAAAAGTTTAGTATTCACCTCTACCCCTGACCCTGCTGTACGATTCCTGTTGAGATTCAATGATCTTCTTCAGCTCCTCTTTCTCCTCGTCTCCTTCAAGCACCTGCCATGTAATGCTGTTGTTCTTGATTTTAAGCTCTCCATCGTTTGCCTCCTTGGCCTTGTCGAATGCATTCTTTGCGTTTCCATCAAAAAGGAGGGTACCCTTGTTTGGAAGAGAGAGAAAAAACATTTTAACAACCCTGCCTCTTCAACCTGAGTTCGGGGCTGTGAGTGGTGCAGATTTTATTTACCTCTTTAGCGCCCCGTGTAAAGTCAACCCACTTTATTTTTCCGTGCCCTGAGAACAATTGATGAAAGTCCTCTCGGGAAACATCTTCGAGTTCCCCTGCAAACTTCAACAAACAACCTGTCTGTTCATCCAGGAGCAGACCCTGCAACACAAATTACACTTTATCATTAAGGTGGCGATAACATGTTCGTATGAGTCCATCGCAGTGGCAGAATATAAGGTGATTAGCACTTAAGGGATCTTACCATTTCTTTATCTTCTGCATGTTTCTGCAGTTGCTCCTTGTCTCTAAATAATATTTTTGTCAGTCATTTTGTTTTTATAAAGTGTATACTAGGACAAAATGGTATTGCATGGATACTTACTGTTTTGCTTTTGCCTTTGTCTCATGTTTGAAATGTTTTCTCTCCTCAGCCTTCTTCGCATGGTAGTCTTCCCTGAAAGCAGAACAGCAATCAAATGATTACTGTCTTAAGCAATTAACCTATCTGATGGGCTCAGATCAAGAACCCTGAGAGGTCAAGAAGGTCAATTAAGCTATGGAAATGGCTCTGACAGACTTGTAGGGTGCAAAAACTTCCAAATGTGTCGCATCCAGCAGAATGAGTCCACTTGTACACCTTTTCCAGATGTGATTTCTTTCTTTTCTTATTTTTTTTTTATCACAACACAGAAAAGCTTAAACCAGGAAGCAGCACAACTTACCTTGATAACACAAGCATCTCATTGCCTTTGAAAGATTTTATGTCTGAACGTTCAAGGAACTGCTTCGATGACTCTTCTGTGTCCAAACAGATGAACACTGATCCCTGCAAAGACAATAATATAATAATTTAAAAAATCTCCTCCAAAAACACAGAAAAAACATAAGCGCGAGTGTTATCAATACAAAAATATTACCTTGAACTGTTTCTGCATGTTTTTCCTCATTTGAATATTTTCTATGGTGCCTTTTCCATTCAACCAGTCCTGAATCTCATCAAGGGAGGTTTCAAGAGGAAAACCTTTCTACATGTTTAAAGTAAAAAGCATTACAGAAACACGACAGAGCAGCAGCAAAACACCAAGATCTAGAGCTGGAAAATATTAGACTAAGGGACTGTGAATTTAGAATAAATTCAGTTTCAAAACATAACTGTCTCTGTATGTTTCAATTCAGTGGGAATACAAGCAACATAATGTATCTACAAAGACTATTTTCTATATGTTATGGGAATCATTTCAGAAACTTACCATGTACACAGATTTGTGTTTAACGGCGTCTTTGAAATCATCATTCAGTTCAGGTACGGGTTTATCTGTACACCTCCTGATTTTAGTCTTGTCTTCACTGATTTCCAAGAGGCCAGTCTTGGATTTCTGGAGAGCTGCAACAATGACGCTGCTGTCGCTAGTTAAAGAGCTGAGTCTGGAAGGAGAATATAAATGTTTCAAACACTCTGAACAGGAAAGACAGCACAGCCCTGCTTTAACAGCATGTGTAATTACTTAGGAGGTACATAAACTTCTTTATCTCACTGTAATGACAGTATGTAGCCACAGACACGGGATAATACTGAATTACTGCTCCATCAGGCTTGATGAGAACACAAGTGTGTCGAGTCACAGCGACTTCTTACCAGTTGAGCTGAGTTTCTATTAATAATCATGAATATCTCTTTGTTAACGAGGTGTGGCCATTTTGTGTGTGCATGTTGTTAGTGTAACAGGTACACTTAAGGGACAGGATGAGGGAACACATTAACCTTGTACTACCTGTTCCTCAAATTATATTTGTATAGCCCATATTCAATCACAGTTTCACTCATAAGGCTTAACAATAAGTACAAGGTGTGACATCCTCTGTCATTTTTACAGGGAAAACTGCAGAAACCGTAGAGGGATCGTTCCTCCAGGAGGCACAGGAGTGTCAAGTAATATAGTGAGTATATAACAGAGCACATCAACAAAATACTCTGAGTCAGACACAAGGTCTGCAGACTGATCAGTCATCACTATTTTGTTTTTGGCCCCATCTCATTATTGAAGCGTCACTTTCTGATTCATTAATGTTGTGCTGATGAAAACCAAATCAGTGACGTCTAAGATAATATTTCATTATCAGCTGTAAAGAAGAAAGTACATGAGGGCAATCCGTGCAATTTTGTGACAGTCTGAGACATTTACATTCCTTTGATGGATGTTTTATGGGTCTGCGAGATACATTACATATTTGAGTCAGTTACAACCACTTTTCATTTCCACACAAAAAGAAACCCTCTTCTCTTGTCTAGACCTTTGTTGTTTAATGCACATTACTGCTGCTGTTGCTAGCTGAAGATTACTGTTATCTGTTGGTCTCCTCTGTCTCATTTTGATGTGTTCAACCAAAACAGTTTCCCTGAAGCGATCTGATTTAACTGGTTAAATAAAGCCGTTGAGCCATCAACACAACAGGCTGTTTAAGGAGCAGTTTCAGTGAGAATAAAATAAGGAGAAAATAACAAACCTGTTGAATTTAAGCATTGTCTCCAAAGGCACCCAGCCATCATCCTGCTGCAGTTGTTCTTTGAGAAACTTGTCCCTGGGAAGATTGTGATCTCCAAAGTAGTACTAGAGGTGAGAATGAGACACATTTCTTTGAGTGTCACTGTTACATTAATGGAAACAAATTAAAGAATTAAGCATCACAATTACCTCTACTTGTCGTGCCACTTTCATTTCAATTGAAGACATCTCTTGCTTTTCGGCCATGGTTGTCCAGTGGAGACAACAGTAACCCCAAGTCCTGAAACAACAAACAATTAGTCTGTCTACAGAAAATAAATCCACAACAAATCTGCTGAGTAATGGCCAAAGTCATTTAGCTGAATACTCACTGCTTCTAGCTTCTCACAGTAACTTATCCTCCTTCAAGTCTGTTTTTACATCAGTCCAAATTTGTTATTGATTTGTCACTCCCTGCTCGCTCTGGAAAATTGCAATGATCCTTTATACTATTTTAAAAACTGACTATTTGATTGAAACACTGAAACCCTTATTACCTGCCACCGTAATAAATACATCAAGTAAATAATACAAAATGATGTACATTAGTTTATTGTAACAGTTGTTTGTCTGCAATATCTTGGTGTGTTCAGCATAGTTTTTAATAACTGCTATTATTGCAGGGATGTGTTGAAGTTTAAAGACTTTACACTTCAACACATCCCTGCCACTATGTGTACAATTTGTATCAACATGTTGGAGTATCTACATTATTCAGTCACTGTGTGTTAAAGACTGACATACTATTTTATATGATTAATTTACAAATCAATGAGAAAAGCAAATTCAATTTAAAAAACGCTATATTAATATTGGCAAATGGAAATAAATCCACGGCCTTATACTCTGAGATTTTCTTTCAGATGTATATAGATTAGTTTTAAACCAATCTCGTCCGTCCATTATTCAGTAAAAAATCTATTTGTTTTAGATAAATATCAAACAAATAATCCCAAAACAACATTAGGCCAATGGTCAGCATCTGACACATATAGATCAGTGAAATAAAAATCCAATCGGCAGATTTTAAACTCGCTAAATGAGGGAACCAGAGCATTATTGCCATGAGGAGTGGACATTTTTCACTAATCTCATGCTGCTGGTGCTGCAGCTAGCTTGAAGGCTAACACGCTAGCCTAGCTCGCGTGCACCAGCTGTACACTCGGACATGTTGTTGGGTGCAGACACGCGGCTGAAACGTGTTCTATCCAACGTGAGAGTTAGTCCGCTGCTAGCTCGCGCTAAGTTAAATTAGTTACATGAGTCATTTAGAAAACTGCGTAACTCCTCTCCCGCGTCGTCATGTCGCTAAAACACGCCAAACCTAGAAGAATGTCTACTGCGCTCGTTTGTAAAGCTTCTAACATTAAACACGGGGAATAGAAACACTGTAAACACAGCGGATCCTGTTCGGAAGGTTACTTACAGAAGGAAGAGTCGGCGCGAGCAGCGGATTTCTGAGGAAATCTAAAAGTGCTTCACTTCGTCGCCTGCACGTTGAGGGTCTGCGTGCTACGGCGAACCGCGAGGACCAAAAAGAGTTTGTTTTAGCGCTGCAGCTGCTCCTCGCTGCGGGAGCGGACACGTGTGGTGCCGCTCACAGCCTCGGGGTGTCGCTGTGATTCCCCTACAATAACCACAGACTGTATATAAAGAATCAAGAAGACAGCATTGACAACATTACAAAGACACCCCATATTTCAAACGGCTTTGCAGCATATTATTTTATTAATTCAAAATATTGAGGTTTTAATTTGGTTTTTCTGTTTATTTTCTTCCAGTTTATGTCATTATTTCCATTTGATTTCATTTGACTCTTTGAATTTATGTCATGTCTTAATGTATAATATGAAGCCCTTTGAATGTTTAAATGTTTTTACATTTAAATTGCACAATTTAAGTTACTAATTACCAGTAGATGTTAGCAGGTGTTAGCGACCGACAGCCGATGTTAGAGTCATTACTTCAGTCATACCTTAGTTTTGGCCTTGTAATCAAAAAACAGACCGAACTTGAGGGTCTGCTGAGGCTAAAGATAAATCTGACCGGCTACTGGCTTGTATAACAATACTATGAAAGCCATGTGGCCCACTCAGTAGATCAGACATCATTACATCTATGCCTTTTTAAACTCCATGCTGTCCCATTTCAGAATAAAGGAAAAGATGGAGAATATCCCTTGTATGTTCTACCACAATTATAACTGCCTACCACATATACTAATACTATCTTATTCTCTGTCAATACCATATATAGTCACTTTATAATTAGCTTGTTAGGTGCACTTGGCCCAATCTTGATTTAATGCAGAACTGTTAACTGCAGAGTTAAGTAAATTCCACTTTCATGAAAGTTTTAATGTTTAGTTTTTGTTAGAATTGAATTTGATTGGTTGAACTACATGATTATTTTATGTTCGTTTTACTTAGGCTATCATTACTGAAATTAATGGGATGGCGAACACAATAAAAACAGTATATAACTTAGTGTAATGTACTTATAGTAGTACAGAACAATAAGGCAACAAATTACATTCAGAACAGGAGAACACCCCCTAAAACAGTATCATTTTTTGAAAGTAAATAATAAATGTAGACAGAAACCACATCACAGTTGTAGATATATTTATTTAATCAGTAGCAGCCTGGTGGTGCAGCTTTATTTAAAAAAGATGCTTTGAAGTGTCACAGTGCATCATTGGTCTGAGCTGGATTCTGCATTTCTCTTTTCAGTCTTTCTTTTCAATCAAGTAAACAGAAATACTCAAAAATGTAAAGTAAAATACTAATTGTCCCTGAGGTTAAGACTGTATATAAAGATGAATGATTTGACTGCTCCGCAAAAATTAAGCCCATGCACATCGATTGCTTCCTGGTGGCTGGTTGCAGAATAGCAATCATAAAATCCCTCCTCCATGTTAGTAAATGGAACATGGACCAAATTTTTAAAAAAATCAAAAATCAACTACATTTTTCCCAGAGATGGTTTTTGTAATTTCAGGTAGTTCTTGTCACACCGATGCATGTTCAAGCTTTCATGTTTCTGCTAAGTTTGGTTTTGATTAGATATTTGATGCTATGAAAAAGTTTTGGTGTACAAAAGTGTATCGACAGGCGCTACCATGGCTCCATCCCCTGATCACTACTGCAGAGACTCTGGCTCCAAATGCGCAAGTAGGCAGCATTTGTATATACAGGATGTTTTGGCTTCATTTCTAGGTAGTGGGAGGAAATGGAGTCGTGTCATTAATTTTTATACACAGTCGATGCTGGACAGTTTGGCAGATGTGTAGCTCTCTACAGTGCATGACATGGACTAGCTTGGCATCTCGTGTGACCGTTTACATGGCATTTGCATTTTGACAGAATACTGTTCACATTTTCATCGATTTGGCACAAAAATTACAATAAATAAAGTTTGATGAGGGTTTGACACTAAACGCTGTGAACACACACACACCCATGTGATCTGGCTGGGCTGGGAAGAGTCCCCACTATCTCCCATGAGTCCAGCTCAGGGTCGTACTTCTCGATGCTCTGCAGATAAGTCCCCTTTGAGTAGGAGTATCCCCCTGTTACATAAATACATCCATTTATTATCACCGCCCCGCACTCCATTCTCCTCTCCTTCATCACTGATATTGGCCTCCACTCATCTTTCTCAGTGTCGTAGCAGTCTGCGATCGTCGTCTGTCCGCCCACCAAATACAGCTTGTTGTTGAGAGGCACAGAGCACAGCCCGTGTTCTGAAAACACAGGATTTTAACATATAAAAATTATATTCAGACCATTACCACTTACGTTCTTCACTCCTACGTTCATACCTGGATGGGGACTTATTGTAATGATGCTCCACTCATTGACCTCTGGCTTGTAGACCTGGATTTTTTCATAGGTGCAGCTTCCTCTATAGCCATAATGGCCTCCGGTCACGTAGATTTTATCCCCCATTACAGAAGCAGTGGCATTTCCAACACCTTTGAAGAGAAATTAGTTTATATTGTGAATTATTAGCAAACAGGTTACATATTCAACAGGCACAAAGCAGCTATAGCGTCTATTTCTGTATCTGGCCACCTGTAGTCTAATGTTCACTTTGCTTTTAACTCAATTTGGCTCACCACAAACTGCAGAGAGAAATATCTTGGTTCCCCCAACAGATGCTGTGCTACATTCACGAATTAGTCGTTAATGTCTATTTGTGTATTGTGTTTAACAGTAACTTTATGAGCTTTTTGCTGATTCTAGCTGGCTGCCCATGCATGTCTCGTGGACTTTGAGCCTCAACTAAGAGGGTTTAATGGATCCCATGAGGTTCCTTCATGTAAATGGTTCAATGGTCAGGAATTCCTTATAGATATCTGAGAGATTCTCAGACATCCAGGTCATGGTATCTTAGAAGTTGTACAAGTGTAAGTGGGCAACAGGACTTGTGTCTCTTCACCCCTCTTCAAGAGGAAGTTGAGTTCTGGAACAGTGTTATCTCAAGTCAACAGAGCATTTCAGCTTCTGGCCTTTTGGATGACAGGTAAAACTTCTTCAAAAAACACAAGCAATATAAGTTGACCACATACACTTGTGCAACTTCTGAAAAAACCTTCTGAAAAAATGGGAATGTGAACATCTTTAGTTCTGAACCAGGGTAAACTCCACCTATCTCATTCTTTTTTCCTCCTTTTCAGTCAACCCATAGCATGTCACCAATCATTTACCTTGGATCATTTTGGCCACAGGAAACCATTTCTTTTTCAAAGGATCATAAAATTCGGTCTCTCGCTCTGGAGCTCCTCCTCTGTAGCCTCCGATGGCGTAAATACAGCCATGCAATGCCACGGAACAGTGGTAGTACCTCGCTGTGACCATGGAGCAACCCTCGGTCCATTCATCATAGTCACAGTTATAAATCAAAACAGCGTCCAGGGCCTCAACAGTGTTTGTCCTGTAACCTCCAGTCACATATATATTTGCTCCGAGTGAGCTGATGCTGTAACTCTCTCTTGCGTGGTCAGGCATTGCTTTACCTTGCACCCATGTGTCACTGACAGGATCCCAGAAGTGAACCTCACACAGTGGGTGCCAGTAGTATCCCCCGATGATGTACATGTTGGGAGACATTTTTCTACTTGCACACACCTCCTTGCCATTATTGGACCTTAATGCCTGTGTTATCATGGATTTAAACTTCCCCTCACTTCTCAGCAGGCCCTGCCTGTGCACCTCTAGAGACGCTTTGAAATAAATCTCATCAAGGTCCAGTTGGATGGAGTTTAGCAAGTCTAGGGTATGGTGAACACGGTTATCCAAGTCATGGGTCACCCATTTGACCACAGCATCTATCAAGACATCATCCCTCTGCACAGTGAGGCTCTGTGCGGCCACCACCGCCCTCATCCTCTCATGGTCCAGCTCCAGGAACTCCTCCTGCAGCACCAGCTCTTGGAACCTGCTCAGCATCACCCTCCTGGCCTCCCTCTCCAGTGCAGGACACAGGTGCAGCTGTGCGAAGGCGTGCATCCCCAGGCAGTTGTCCACATCCAGGAGGCGGATGAGGAACTCCTCGCAGGCTTGTTTGACAGAGATGAACTGCAGGAGGTCTGCGGCCTCCAGCAGGCTCTGCACGTTGCTCTCGGTGATGCGCACCTGACCCGTGTACACGTAGTTCACCAGGGCGCCCAGGACCTCGGCGTGCACCCCGGTCAGGGTGATGCTGCTGTCGGACCGCTCTCTCATGTCAGCTGTGAACATGACTTTAAAATAGGAGCTGCGGGCCGACAGCAGCGCCTTGTGGCAGTGGAACACCTGCGCCCCAGGGCCACTGCACTGGAGGGAGACGTCTGTGAAGAGGCCGCTGACGTAGAAGTGCCTGAGTGCGTCCAGGAGCTGCGACGGATGATCTCCATCAGTGAAGTCGAATGTGTAGATGTCGTCTTCTTTGTATGACATGGTGTCTGCAGGAAAAACACACGCATGACAGTGACCCAAGCGCACATTAAAGCAAAGGACAGCCCAGTGTCATATTCTCATTTATAATGAATGACAATCATGCAGTCAGTTATTGGCCTCCTTGCTGTAATAACACAGGTCTTACCTCTCATCTTATATCCATGAATAAAGGCTGCAGCTCCACACACACGCTCCTCTGTGTCCTCTCTCTCTCTGTGTGTGAAAAGATCGTCTCTAACAAACACATGAAGCTCAATTTAGCTCAGGCAGGACGGTCGCAGGCAGCTCAGATCCTATTTTGGTATTTGTGTGCAGAGGACAACCCCCCTCGACCCCCTCCTCCTCCTCCTCCCTCCTCCTGCACCTTCCTCCTCCTCCTCCTCCTCCAGCAGCTCCTCCATTGACAGGATCCCCCCCCGTGCACAGATACTTTCTCTCCTCCAGCCTGATTATAAAAGCTACATCCACGATCACGGTCCCGTGGTGCGTTCACGGACGGGGCATTGTGCAGGACAGGCTTCGCCGCTGGAATACAAATCTCACTCTGTGCTGCTCCACTGCCTCTGTTCGCCATTCATGTGTTTTCCCCTCTCACTCCTGTGGTTGCCATGGTTTCCTGAACCCACTTCCAGCATGGTCAAGGGCTTTGGCTGTTAATCCTAACAAGGATTAAAGGTATAACTGCAGGAGCTGGTTTACATTCGTTTCCACTGGTGGGGACTATTTCTGATACATGTTTCTATCCGCCATCAGTCAGATGATAAAACATATGAAAACAACATACAGTCAGAGATTAAACCACTGGTTCTCTACCCACATTGACTTGTGACCTCTCAGAGAGGGTCCTGGGATCTATTGGGGCCTCCTGTCTCAGATGTCTCTGTTATCTGTTCCACCGAGGGCATAGATATGTGTTGAAGTTGTGGGGGTTGAGGACAAATGTCATGGTCAAACACAAAATGTATAATAATTTGTAATAAATACTAATTTCTATAAGAATATGTCTTACCAATGAAAAACACAGTACCATATTGGTATACAGTACCATAGAAATAATTACTATTTATTGTAGCCAACGTAGCTGCAACAAATGGGTTCATCAGTTAAATAACAGTAAGAGGCCATAAGAGGTCAGTGTGGGCTATTGTGCAGTTTTTCCCATGAAGCCAAGATTTCACTACAAAAATTAGGAATGCAAAACTGTGTATCATTGACCAAGTGCTGATGCATTTGTTTTCACCCGATGAGAATTAAATATTTAGTTATGATAATATACCAGTCACAGGGGCGGAGGTAGCTGTTAGCTGCTATCACTTTAATAGGATTTTGAATGCAGGACTTTAACTTGTAATGTATTTCTTTGTCCCCAAAGGAAGTTATGTTTGTTGGTTGGTTTGCGTGACTGTTTTTCAGCAGAATTAAGTTAAAAACTACTAAACAGAATTCCATGAAACTTGGGAGAAGGATGGGACATCAAGAAAGAAGTCATTAACTTCTGTCGCAGATTCGGAATAGGGGGCATATCCACGGTTTTTTTTGGATCACTTTATTTAACATTTCAAAATTTTTGACATTTTCACAGATTTCCCAAGGAATAATATGGATCTTTTAGTGTTGTGTTGTCTCTTGACATTGTATTTTATGTTGTTTTTAAAGGATAACAGATTTGAAATCCACAGCTTGAGCTGAATGCATAAAACAATTTTGGAGAATGTTTTTTAATCATTCACCAAAGAGATGCTTTTAGTCCCAAAGTCAGATTCATGCGGTAAATGTATTTAAACGTCAGGAACAATCATATAGAATGAAGAAATGGTCCATTTCAACATTTACACACAGAATTGTACAAATTGTAGAAAATGGTGGTGTGGGTTATTTTACTTCGTAGTGCTGTAGTTGTTACACTGTTAGTTGTTATGTTGACCAGTACAATATGATGTGGTCTAAAACTGCAAACTCCACCCTGGATCAATTGATATAAACATCCTGTGTAATACATTGTTCAATCTCACTAATAATAAAAAAACATTCTCACAGTTTTAGTAAGTGTATTTTATTTCACATTGCTTTGAAATGGTCAAATAAACTGAAAAAGTCACCTCAAGGGCTCCTAAACCATCGTACCACTGGAATGTTATCAGAAAGACGTTTTAAAGTGTTCAAGTGTTTGATAGTGTTCTACACAAGCTCAACTTCTAAACAAGTTGTTAGCTGTAAACATGAAGACCGAGACAGATCAATTATACTAGACATTGTTAAACCTGCTATTTCAGATACTGAATGTTATCCAAGCACTGCAGCGGGTTCTGCTGCCGTCACTTAAATGGTGAGCTGTGCGGCCTCCTTAACTGAGGACTTTAAGGCACCGAGGTCTTGCAGGAGGGAGGACACCCCCACACAATACCACAGATCACCACTGCGGTCTGAGGGAGCGCTGAAAGACTCGATCTCCACCCCCTCTGCGGCCAGCACTCCTAAACAAAGAACAATTGAAAAGAGAGAAAAAAAAAAGGTGTGAGTTTAAAGCAAAAGAAACAACTCAGGGAAAACTGTTTTAGTCCTTAGAGACCATAACTCAGTTCCATCTTTTATTTAAATGGAAAGCTTGAATTAAAAAAAGATCTGTAACACTAATTTCAGGTTTAAAGTTGAATAAAGAATCAAGTGTCTGCACTCTTCTCCGTCAATGCCAAGTGGGCCAAACTGAGTCTGCCGATTCACCGATCCACTGATTCAATCATTAACAGTCATAATTTGATGCCTCTCGCCCAATTTCAGCTGGGATTAGCTTCATAGCTGGTTGTGCATCTGACGTAAGTGTGTTGCCACTTTGTCTGTTGTAGTTAAGTGCATTGAAAAAAACAGTCTCTGTTTGAAAGGAGAGAATTTATCTACCACTTTACTTGGTAACTTTTGTTGCCACTGTAGTATTATTATGGTTTTAATACCAGCAAAATGAACATTGTGTAAAAAGATACTAACAATCCTACAGGCATTTTCTTCTTCTATTGTTTGATGCTGCATCAACTTCTGAAAAATCTGAACTTTCCAAAAAAATGTTTTATAATAATAATGGAAGGATGGATGAATGTCATTTGTGAGGGTGCACCACTGCACTAATGTGATCATTCTGATAAAATATAAAAAAAACAAGATATTAGCAGTGACCATGGTCCTCAATAAACCAGTTCCCATCTATTAACTGTAGCCTTACTCCAACACATTCAGTTCTACAGGGCTGATTCTCTCCTTTAATAAATCTGCTTCAAAGTCTCTCACCAGCCACAGAGGACAGGAGCTGAGGACTCGCAGGGGCTTTGAAGAACAGCAGATTCCCAGTGAGACGGACCGGCTGTCTGAACACACTGTCGCTCAGCTCCAGCAGGACCGGCACACCACCCTGAACTGCCCCCGTGGCTTTGTAGGTGCAGCATTTGGCCACGATCTCCACCTTGCAGACTCCATCAGCTGCCCCCTCAGATGCACAGTGGGCTTGGTTTACCTGAAGGGTCAGTTCACATGCACGACATGATTATTCTTCTTAAAAAAAACCCTCCTTGTTGTGAGGTGGTGTTTTTCACAATGAGATGGCTCTGTACCGTGATTCCAGATTCCTTTGCGAGACTCAGTACATTGATGAGGTTTGGGCAGCAGCCAGATTCATGATTCAGCAGTCCGACCAGGACTGATGATGTCATGTAACCGGCGGAGGACTTCATGACATCCCCTGTTTGTAGGAAACGGTGATTAAGATTACCTTCTGGTTAATTTAATAAAAACAGATAAGACATAAACAGAAGATCAAACCTTTAAATTAGCTCATGTACAACTACAATGTCCAGCTGATATCAAACACAGTGTCTGATTCACAATCCCATCACTAGAGAGGGGGAAAGCACCTCTGTTTGAGTTCACTGGTGAAACAAACTGGTTACAAAAGTATAGTCGACCTTGAGTGGTGATCTGCACTTGGCTGAACGGTTTATTAGAACTTGAGCACGACTGCAGCACGGCTCCAACGGCTTCTCCGAGTTTGATCAGCTGATGAGATTCCTGGGAGAAGGTGCTCGCCAAAACCTGAGCATTTACCTAGAGAAGAAAAAGACATGTCGGATCAGATCAGGTGTGTTTTCGTGAACGGAAGCAGATGCTTTAAGCACCAAAAACAATCAAACAATTACATCTCTTTATTCATGATTTTGCCATTTTTCAAAAATTCAGAGGCAATAATACAGATTTAATCAGATAGTCATAGTCCAAGAGTGTGTTCATTCAAAGTTTATAACCGCAGCCTGATCCTTGTACATGAATACCTGAGTTATCTAGATTAGATTGTTGATGATTTGAATTGAGCTTGGAACTGTTTTGGATCTTTGAAACTGGTTAAACTGGAAGTGTAGTAATTGCAAAAGGGTAGTGACAGTTTGCTGGATAATGACCAAGGCTGAACCCAATATAGAAACTCATTTTCAGATACAGAGCAGTTGCTTTCTCTGGGATACAATGAAAGAATAATGATGTAATTCAGATAGATGAAAACATTAAGGTTATTGAGAAATCATTATAATCTATGGCTGTACTTTATCAAAATGTAATAACCTGTACTTATACATGATGAAATATAAATACATGTCATGCGTTAGTTACCCTTAGACCCTGTTGAGACCTGGTTTTATCCGTATCTGGTGTGACATAGAGGATCTGATCTCATGTTTTGAATAGTATTATAGAATTGGAAAAGTAAAGGCTAACTTGGAGGATTATGTGACCGTTGCAGATTCAATTTGTTTGAAGTGTTTGCAAGCATTGGATATTTCAATAAAGTGATGTGTTCATAGAAGAAGATAAAGTCTGCAAATGTAGAAAATGGCCAGAAGTGGGTGCACAGAGCTGAATCTTCTTCATTCCTTTGAGTTCTGCTGCATTGTAAGTGTAGAAGAGTGAAAATAGTGAGAGCTCATGCTAACAGAAGCTTTGTGAATGAAGCCGCTAACACAGGAGTGAGGTCGCCTTACATGCTGTATCACAAAGAAAACAAAAACTGACTCCACCCACTCATGTCATCTTGCCATTATGGTAAAGTGAGTGTTAGTGTCACATGTGTTCATTCAGTACCATTCTTACCTACCTTGGATTTTATGAAATAGCTTTAAAAAGAGAAACACAACATGGATTTAACATATGAACAACAGCTCATTAGTCGTGAATATGAAAACTGTTGCACAATCTGTGGCTCGCAAAACAACCCACTGAGGGCACTGTCACATACACGCCAATGAAGCAGTGGTAAATCTTTGTCTCTTGTTCACACACAATCTCCAAACATTCCCTTCTTGTGTCAGAGCAATCTGACACAGTTTGGCTTCGTGTGGAATTCAACTTCAGTGAACTTTGGCCTGCATTCACATATGTGTGACCATGCCCTAATGAGTGCCATCAGCTCGTGTTTGTAGATAAATGTTAAAGTCTTCATTACAAGTTACGAGTTTGAAAAAATTGTGGTTGTTTAAGATTATTTTATTTTATTACTGAGAGACGGTTTTATTGTTTTTGTTGATGTATCCATTTTAGGGAGAAGTCAGGATTTACTCCAGCTCTCATTTTTACCATCCCACAACTTTATGGAAGGGCAATACTAAATCCAACTCTTTAACATGCTTTGCAACCACAAAACTGGTGTGAGATCGGGTACAACTTACTGCTCCAACCAGTTTCTTGCCCATCACCATGTCCACAATCTGCAGGGCGATGTCTTCCCCACAGCGAGCCTGAGCCTCCTTGGTGCTGGCTCCGAGGTGAGGACAGCTGATGACGTTGGGATGATTCACCAGTGAGCGGTTCTTCGGTGGCTCCTGTGGCCAAATATAAAACACATCTCCACCGTTAATATTCAAGACTGACTACAGGAAAACAGCTTGATATGTGTTACCGCAGTCTGTCGTGATCAGACTTACAGTACGTGTGACAATAGGAGGTCGTTAACTTGCCTCAACAAAAACGTCAAGTCCTGCTCCTCCACACTGTCCGGACTCCAGCGCTCTGAGGAGAGCATCCTCATCGATGATGCCGCCTCGTGCGCAGTTCACCACCTTCACCCCTTTCTTGCATTTAGCGAATGATTCGTCGTTGAGCAGACCTTGAACAAACACACAAAACATTTTAAAAGTGGATTTCTACAACTCACAAGTACAATGTATTGCATGATCAGCAAGGATCTCATGGACCTGAGATCCGATTACTCAGACCACATGTTTCAGGTGTGAACACACAAACTTGCTGGAAGTTAACACCAGGTCTGTTGTTGCTCAGTGGGGAGAACCTGTGTAAAAAACTCACCAACAGTAGAGGGCATGAGGGGAGTGTGGACAGTAATATAATCACACTGGGGCCAAAGCTGCTCCAGCTGCATCTGCTCCACCCCCCAGCTGGCCGACACCTCATGTGGAGTGATAGGGTCATAGCCGATAGTCTGAAGATAGAGAAAAGTATTTATCTCAGCATTTGTGTCTCATTCACACGTTTGTACACAGTTCATTGTGTTGTAATCTGTTTACTTGCCCTCATGCCGAATGATTGCATCCTTGAGGCGACTTCTTTTCCTATTCTCCCAAGTCCCACTATTCCAAGAACTTTCCCGTAGAGCTCTGCACCCATGAACTGTAAAATTAGAAACAAGACAATGACCCTGATTACGAAATCATAAACTACACAGATCCAAGTGTCGTGTCTGATTATCGCAGACTGGACGAAAACAATGAAGTCGACCATGCGATGGTAAATTGCTTTGTGTGCCAACTGCGGACGTTCAAAGGGGAAACAGGGGCGAACCAACATCTCTGCTGACCTTTTTGCGATCCCAGTTCCCTTGTTTCATCGACATCGCAGCTTGAGGCACATTTCTGCAAACACACAGACGTATTAACAGAAATCTACAGAATTATTGTGCGATTAAAAAGCTTGTAAATACAGAAGTCATCTAACCTTGAGAGGCTCATCAGCAGGGCACATGTCAACTCTGCAGCACTGATTGTGTTACCGCTTGGTGTGCTGCAGGAAACAGTCTACAGTTAATGTACTGCACATTATGTTGCGGCTGCATTACAGGTCAAATTTTTACAAAAGCCTTGAGACTTACTTCATTACAATAATACCCTTCTTGGTGGCAGCATCAACGTCCACATTGTCCACACCGGTCCCAGCTCTCCCAATGATTTTGAGATTATTTGCAGCATTGATAACATCAGCTGTTACCTTGGTTGCAGATCTCACCACAAGGCCATCGTAGTCCTGGGATGGTAAGAGAGGCGCATTGTTGATTAGAGATAATTTAATATCTGTGGTTGATCCTATCAAGGCTGGAATAGTAACATTGGAAAGCAGCAAATTAACTAGCGATTCCAAATCTTCCAAAACCCTGAGGCCCACAAATTCAATTCTGTCAGTTAACTTTGTGGTTATGCAACATTTTTGGTAATTTGCATCACAATAGCATGATATGAAATGTACATAAAAAAACTGTGAACACAACAACAACATAGTAGTGGCTAATTGTGGCGTAAACTGTGACATAAATGTCACTCTGCTTTCTGCAGATAAAGTTAATTGAAATGCTCTTGAAATAAAAAGTTATCTGGAGTCACTGTTTGTTCATGCTAATGATCTTTAAAAACAATATAAAAAAAGGAACATTAATGTTCAGTTTCTCTCACTTTATGGAGTTGAGGGTGACTTGAGGCACTGCTTGAGGAGGCCCACATTCCATCGAGCCCTGAAACTACTGTCCATTGTGATTGCATTTAGTTTGTAGTGAGAACTGATCCACTTCAACCAGTTGTTTTAATTGTGTGTAGTATATGAAAAGCATTTGTTGGCTTTGTGTTCTCAGCTGTCAGTCCATGTGATCTGAGATCTGGTAAAATCATGGATGAGTTGCATCAGCTTCCCAAGGGGGCGGTACTAAACTAAAATCCAGCGTTCACACCTCAGCCTCAGTGAGCGGAGGCTTAAAACACAAAGTGCACACTCTTTAAATGAAAGTTTGCATGAATCTCAAACTACTGTTCGGTTGATGCATTTTTAAATCCATTTCCCCACCGGGACAGCTGCAGTAGCAAAATGAATGGAAGCAGAGGCGACCAGGCTTTTTGAACACGATAGGGAGAAGAAGAAGAAAAAAGTCTGCATGTTACGCAGCAGGAAAAAAAAGAAGACGATCCACGTGTGGAAGCCGAGACTCAACTTTACCTTTATCTCCGCGATCAGTTCATCTTTTGACATTTGCTGCTTCTCCGTAACTCGGATGCCATTTTGCTGCAGGAGGGCTCTGCAGCGAGGGTCCACACTCTCACTGATCAACACGGTCTTGATGGAGACAGGGGCCATCTTGGTGCGGAGGGGTTCTCTCGGTGCTGGATGGTGGATGAAGTTGAGCTGAGTGCTTGATGCTCGGCTGGGAGTGACGGTGGCCGCGGGGAGTTTCCCTCTGCTGGTTTTGAATGGTCACCTCGGGTTTGGAGACAGCCCCTCACTCAGTGGACCCGCCCCCATCATGCGTCTCCTGCTGGAGATTGGAGGTTACAGACAGAGTGTAATATATTTGTTCTGTTGGAATACACCAGGAATCACTCTGATCCCTTCAAGCAACATCAAACTTGATTTTATTTGTCTTACACTGAACACGAGTTCAGTCTTAATTCATGAGACAGTGTTCGTCACCTGACTCACTAGGCAGCACATGACTGTCCTCTTATTCCAGTGTTGGCTCAGTACATTTACACGTCCAACACAGTCCTACTCTTATATATACTTTCTACTTTGGTGTTAAAATGCATGTCATCTTATTTTCAACAGAATCCCTGTCTGTATATGTTAATGTAAACCTGATGTGATGGACCTGTCAGAGTTGTTTTCCTGACTTTGTGTTGAATAAGAGTCTTGATTCAAGTACAAACATGTGGCAGTTCTATTTTAAACTCTTGTTATGTTACTGAATTAACGTGAGCACAGTTTGGTCTCATGCATCCTAATTAAACCGATAAAAAACTCTTCATCCCCCCATCTGAACAGTGAAAGTACATTTCAATACAGAGGCTATTTCCAACATGGTTCAGCAACGTCTTTAGGTCAATCATTTTTAATGTGTGCACCCAAATGATGACTGTTCTATAAAACTTTTATTGAATCAGTTTTGAAACCTGATTCTGACCCACAGGATTAAGATTGGTCAGCTTGTGGCCAGCAAACATATTGGGGTGAATCCATCTCTCTAACCTCTACGAGCATTATATCTTAAGGAAGGTCCAGGCCATATGGGACTGTGCTGATCTCCCCCTGCACAGCAAGTTCGTGCATCTACCTTCAAGAAGAAGATACGAGGAAGAGGAGTTCCTACCCTAAAAATTAAAATAATGAAATTCCCTTTTATCTTTATACTTTTGTCTTTATATGACGATAAATACATTGAATTTGCCACTAGTGCACTTTTTCTTTGCACACTGGACTTCATCATCTTTATCTCTTTATGGAGTGACCCTGTATTGTGGAGACTTGACTTGCTAGTGTGATACAACCCGTCAACAAGGAACAGAAACACAAAACCATGAATAACTACCACTGAATTTTAGTGCATTTTCAGGGACATCAAGTGAGAACATTGTGATCCATTATCTCTGCACAGAGATTTATTTCTTTTTTATTATTTCAACATGCACAAAATAAATACAAAACACTGCAAGAGATCACATGCACAAATATAGATAGATCGATTGAAAGAGCGCCACCTGTGGTCACTCTTCGGAAATGCTTGCTTCGGATTGGTTCTGCCATTGCCTGGATACAGAACAACAAATCCACACAACGACACAGCTGTAACGTTGGCAACAGAAGTTTATTTGATCATATCTTTAAATGGATAAGATCTCTGATTGAAATGACCTCTGAGGTTCAGCTCAGCCGCCGGAGAGGATCCAGTAGAAGAGGTAAAAGAAACAGGAGTTTTGGGGGTTGAGGTTGATAAGAATGTGTTTTTAGTTCATAGGCAACACGATAACAGCTTGAAGAAATGAAGGAAGCTACTAAAATGTAGTGTAAGGCCAGAGTTAGCCTGAATATTCAAAGTTATATAAGATTTAAGCTATTTAAAAAATATCTTCAATCTGTACTTGTTAAGCAGGATATTATTATTTGTCGTTTATAATATGCAGCATTATCTATGCATTTAATTATATTTCCCATGTGCAAGTTAAGGCCATCTATCTATCTATCTATCTATCTATCTATCTATCTATCTATCTATCTATCTATCTATCTATCTATCTATCTATCTATCTATCTATCTATCTATCTATCTATCTATCTATCTATCTATCTATCTATCTATCCATCCATCCATTCATCTATCCATCCATCCATCCAGGTTTAGGCTATCCATATACTGTTTTCGACACAATCCCATGACACAAATGTGAAAAGCTCAGCAGTGGCTCCTGGTGGACAAAATGAGCAACACATTCAGTTTGGTATATTGCCATATTTGTATTTAAATGCAAGCTTCACTACCACACCACATGTCTGCTTTTCTATTTAAACCTGCAACTAATTACAGAATGAAAACTGTATTCTTGATGATAAACAGAGGGCATGACCTCAGTGTGCTGCACTAACCAACCAGTGTTAGACACCTTTTAACACAGAGTTAAATAAATATTGATTCCATTACATTTTACAAAATAGCATTTCATACATTCAGACTTTATTTCAAATAATTCATCTGAATCATGCAAATGGTTTGAATGAACATAATGTTCTGGGTGTAGTGGTAAATCTACAGTTTTGTCTTCAGCAGAGGAAACCAGCAAGATGTTCCAGGCACCTGATCTCCGACAAGTCACTGTGGTGAATAAGGCTGAATGGCAGAGGATTCAAAATGAAGTCCACCAGGTTGATAGAGATAAGGACAGTATGAAAGAGGCGGAGAACCAGAGAAAAGCCCTGCACCTGCGGTCAAAGCAGATGGTGAAAGAGTGGCCCAATACCATCGCTGTAAGTCAACCTCACACGGCTGTTTGTCCGATTTTATTTGCTTTTATTGTTTCAACTTGTGAGAATGTGTCTGTGTTCATTTTTATCAAAGAGCCAAAGACAAAAGAAGCTGGAGGCGAAGAAGATCCGGGAACAGATCGAGGAAGAGAAAAGGAAGCAGATGGATAAAGAAGAGGCTGAATACAGGGAACAACAACGTAAAGAGATCGTTGAGAAAGCAAAGACTCAGCTCTACTATCAAACTGACCAAGTCAAAGGATTACATGTCAGTATTGCTTATTCTTTTATTATAATAGGCTGTACATTGATATTTTGGGATAATAACTGATTTTTATTATTCCTACAGAGTGCACTCTTGATGACAGAGGTGATGAAGGAGAGGGAGGCTCAGGTTGAGCTGAAGAAAAGGATAAAGAGTGCCACTAAAGATGTGGAAAAAGAATACATGAATTTGGTGGAGATGAGAAAGAATGATGCTCTGATGCAGGAGGAAGAGAAAGCGCTCCAGAGGAAGCTTGAGAGACTGGCTATTGCAGAGGAGCAGAAAAAACAGTGAGTCTCACATCAGAGCAGTTTCATTGTCTCRACAGTTATCTCAACATATGCATCACTCTGGGTAAAGTTGCAAGAAATTGTACATTTAACATCKTATTTTATTAGAAACAGAATGAAGTATYACAGCACAGGCCCATGATAGAACCTGCAGAAGGTTTGAGTATAAAGATATTTAGTAAACATGAGAATGTGTTTTTTTTTTCTTGAGGATGAAGAAAGGTGAGTCGGCCAGAGAGAAAAAAGAGACAGAGATCAAGAAGGACAGAGAGGAAAACCTTCGCCTTCATGAGCGTTATCTGTTGGAGCAGAGAATGGAGGAAGAACGACAAGAGGAGCAGAAGAGAATCCTGAAGCAAGCTCAACTGGTAGGGTCTTAGCAACACATGTGTCGTATTGTATTGTATTTCTTTCTAAAACACAGCTTCACTATACAGGAACACGTCACTGAAAGAAACCTCATGAGAGCAGCAGAGGCACAAAAACAGGCCGCTGAAGAGGAGCAGAGGAAATTGTTTCTCTCTGCGAAACAAAAAATGATGAAGTTGAGGAAAGAGAAAGAAACTGAGTTGTTCAGGTAAGACCCAGCATCTCTTCATCCAGCTCCCTGTGTAGACCCACTCATCTGCCTCCACGTCCCAAAGAGTTTCTTTTCTCCACAGAGAGGCCCAGAGGCAAAGAGAGGATCTCATGAAGAAACTCACAGACCAACAGCAGGAGCAAACTGTGAACGAGGATCAGAGGATTGCTAAGGCTGTCGCCGAACAGGACGCCAGACATGAGCTGCAGCGGAGGGAGGAGGAGGAGAAGAAGACTGCAGTGTTGAAATCCCTCGCTGAACACAGACAACTGATGGTAAATTAGTCTGTAAATGATGTGACGTAATAGAAGGAAACATTTGTTTATCTATGTCATATTTATTGTTAGTAAGTGTGATTAGTACATTTAAGAAAAAAAAAGATACCTGAATGTATAGCTGCTTGTTGCAGTGTGCCAGTATCTGTATCATTGATAAAGAACTTGCATATTACAAACTGCTTTCCACCAAAAACATTTCTCTTAAAAAAATTCTCCTTTAATTTAAACAATTCTTAAAGCCTGACAGAAGTTGCATTAAATGGACGTTTTCATAATCAACATTTCGTCCTAAAGTCTGATTATTAAATTTGAGGCTTTTTTAGACCCTGTGAAAACCTTGTTTGTACTGTTTTATCCAGCTGAAGAAAACTAAATGTTATCACACCTTTAACACAACACTGTTTTGTCAGAGACAAGAAAAGGAGCAGAGGGACAGAGAAGAGCAACAGAGAGCCAGAGACATGCTTGAGGCCAAGAAAGAGGCCGAGAGATTATTTTGTGAGAAACAAAAAGCGAAGGCTCTGAGGATCAGAGAAGATCTGAGAAAGATGCAAGACTGCAATTCAACACAAACGGTAAAGACACAGCTCATCATCTCTGCACCACTACAGAAGGTAATAGCAGTCTTTGTTCTCGGAAAGTAAATCTTGATATTGTTTCATACTCAGGCTGCAAAAACTGCCAGGCAACAGCAACTGAGACGAGAGGAAGAGGAGTTTGAGGCAAAGACCAGAGACCTCATGGCTGAAGAAGAAAAACAGTTTCAACTCTATTCACAGCAGGTCATCCATGCAGCAGCAGAGGCTCAGCGAGACGTCCTCCCACTTTGCAAAGCTGCGAGGGGAGGGATCGGAGGAGGACTCGGTCCTGTTTTCGGGGGAGTCAGGCCCAGCTACATGGTTCAGGACTGCAGCGGTGCTCAAATGCCTAACTACATCTCTGGTGCTACCCAGAACATTAAAGGGCTTCATGAGACAGTAGATATTCAGGAAGCAAAGAAGAGACTGGGGTTTATGTGGTGAAAACTACAATGTTTGCAAAAGGAGTTGCTCACATTCCATCTATTTCTGTCATGTCATCACTCAGGTCATCACAAAAAATGTTTTCTGGGGGGGATTAAGCACTCAGATTTCCATGGCTGTATGGCCAAACAAAGGTTAAACAAAAGTTCTTTAAGATATTGTTTCCGTTAAAAAGCACACACACAGACATACAGTATATATATATACTGTATATATATACAGACTAACGTATAATTGCGCATCATTTTCTGTATTCACAGGTTCAGTTTCTTACCTTTGACTTGGTCTCTGCCATTTTTAGAAATGGTACTAACATTTTTAAAAAGTATTCAAAAACTATTAAACGAGAATAAAGTGATGGATCAACTTCCGCTGTCACAACCTTCAAAGTAAAGTGTTTACCAATGAGATGGGAAGATTCTTCTATAGTAAACACATGGATCTGTCCAACTTGAAGTTCACCCAGGAGTAGAATGTGACTTATCACAAATATTTACTGTTGTTAACACTTGACAAGTATAGATATACAAAGTGTTAACTTAAAGGTTGAGTGTGTAGAATTTAGTGACATCTAGTGGTGAAGTTTCATGTTGCAGCTGAATACCCCTCACTTCACCCTCCTCTTCCAAACATAGAAGAGAACCTGTGGAAACCTTCAGTTGTCATAAAAACTCAAAAGGTGTTTAGTTTGTCCAGTTTGGACTACTGTAAAAAAAATGGTGGCTTCCGTAGAGAGGATCCGCTCCTGATGTAAACATAAAGTATTTTAATATAAAGGGCCCATTCTAGGGTACACAAAACAACAATTTGTATTATTTAGATGATTACACATTAGAAGATATCACTAGGATTATTTATATCCAATTGCTGCCAATAGATCCCTTCTACCTAAATCTTACACACTGAACTTTTAAGCTATGGTGGCTTGAATATTGTAGTCTTGGTTTATGTAATTGAACAGTGTGTTTGACACATGAACCAACTGTACTGAGTGTGTTAGAGAGGCATTAACATAAAGCTCAATCATTAGGTCTGCCCCTCCCTTAGAGTGGTAAGTTTTGTTTTCCTTATTGCCACTGTAGTTCATGAAGATGGCAGGAGATGGTTTTGAGTTCCATTCGTTCAACCAATTCAGCCCAGAAACAAGTGTTATGGTCTTTGTTTCCACTGTTGTGTGCGTCCATTTGAGTGTAAGTACTGGGACTCAGTTGTTGATATAGTTTTATGTATCTTCATCATCTGTAAGGATAATTGTTGATGGTTTTAAGTTGGCCACTTGTTATCAAGTTAAGTAAGCCAATTTAAGGACAACCTGGCGTCGGCAGTGTTCACCGTCTGGTTATCATCGGATAATCCGTAATTCATGTGTAACTATGAAAGAAAAAAATGTAAATCTGTTATTTGTTTCAAAATCAAAAACAAAAAAAACGTTTTTGGTGTTGGAATAGAAAAATCCAAAAACCAATCCAAAACTTTTGCCAATTCCTTTTATCTTTTTTCTTGTGGGACTGAAGAATGAAGAGGCAGTTAGTTTTTTGGTTTGAAATGAAACAAAGAAGTCACGTGATGATTTGTTTTTGTTTTAAAATGGAAAACTGGCCCAATTGTTCTTCTATGTATTTCTTTTTTAATTTCTCATTTAGGACAGAAAGTACAGTTATGCCTAGACTGGCAGTGAAAATTAAGAGTTTGGAAAACTTATTTAAAAAAATAAAATCCATGGGGATAGAATGTCCAAGTCAAACAAAGGGACTTAATAGGCAATTATTATCAAATATGGTAATGTCCGGCTGCAAACTGTCAAGATGGCGCTGGTTTCAATGCAGCTTCAAAGATGCATCTTACAAACAAATGCTCAATGTCACTGTGGCAACCTTTGATGTCGAACCTATGATTGAACCTTTGATGATAGAGATGCCAGCTTACTTGGAAATAGCACAACAAATTCTGACTGACGCAGCTACAGCAAAAGGTTATTTGTCGTTTTAGATAGATAGATCATATATGTGATATAATGACATCCAAGGATCAACTCGGCCACCAGAGAGGATCCAGTAAGAGAGGTGAGAAATAAAGAAACAAGAGTTTAAGGGTTGAGGTGTGGATTTGTTTGTCTGGTTTATTAGCAGCATGATGACTGATTTAAAATCTTATCATATTATATAATTAAGAAATGGAAGAAATGTATGACTCTCACTACCACATTGACACAGTAGCCCGGAAGCCTTTTATTGTCATATTTCTACAAGTAAATATTTAAGCTAGTTTTAAAACGATAACATTCCTGTACCATGGTGTACATGGTAAGTAGGATATTACTGTTTCTTGTTAATAATATGCAGTATTATTTTTGCAGTACGTACTCAAACAGTTTGTCTATCTATCTATGTTATTTATTGATTTATTTTTTGGAAGTGGCCACCAAGAAATATTTTGTTCCATAGGGAAACTTTTCTTCATCATACAACATGTATCACTATACACGTATAGATCCTACATGTATCACAATACACATACCCCACACACAAGTTCGTACATCGTACCTAAAGCACCCTACACATACATCCGACATTCAGACTTTTGTAGAAAACATGCTTACATTCACATGTTGGGTGTAAACCAGTGGTAGGCAGTGATGTTAGGGATAACACCATATAATAAGAGGACAGTAGTCATTTTAAAAACATAAATAGATAAATAGATAGAGGTACAACACAAAATATTTGTTATTTAGTATCTTGATGGAGGATGGAATAAAGGAATTCTTGTACCAGTTCAGTCTGCAGTCTAGCATCATTAAACCGTCGGCCAACATCTTTTATTCCATGTACAGGGTGTTTGTGGGATTGCTCAGAATCTTATGTGCATCTTTAAACACAGATTTTTCATATCATGGTTGAAAATAGAGCTATAGAGTATAGAGTAATACATGCAGAGTGGGGGTCTGCTGAGTTGATAGCATAGACATAGACACACTGAATAAACAGATACACATCTTTTCTGTCAGTGTTGTACAAAATACAGTAGCACACTTTGTAATTCACGGTGTGATGTCTGCTTTTCTGTTTGGACCTGCAATTAATTACAGAATGATAACTGACCTGATGATTGATTGATTCAGAGGGCATGACCTCAGTGTGCTGCATTAACCTGCCAGTATATGGCAGATGTTACACATTTTAATATGGAGGATACAATTTTAATCTCTTACATTTTATAGATTACATTTCATACAGGACTTTGAACAATCCTCAACTATGAGAATAATGCAAATCAATAGTTCAAATAAACTTCATAGGGTCATTTCTCATTTTTAATGCTGTCTTCAATAGAGGAAACCAGCAAGATGTTCCAGGCACCTGATCTCCGAAAAGTCACAGTGTTGACCAAGGCTGACTTACAGAGGATTCAAAATGAAGTCCACCAGATTGATAGAGATAAGGACAGTATGAAAGAGGCGGAGAACCAGAGAAAAGCCCTGCACCTGAGGTCAAAGCAGATGGTGAAAGAGTGGCCCAATACCATCGCTGTAAGTCAACCTCACATGGCTGTTTGTCCGATTTTATTTGCTTTTATTGTTTCAACTTGTGAGTATGTGTTTGTGTTCTTGTTTGTCAAAGAGCCAAAGACAAAAGATGCTGGAGGCGAAGAAGATCCGGGAACAGATCAAGGAAGAGAAAAGGAAGCAGATGGATCAAGAAGAGGCTGAATACAGGGAACAACAACGTAAAGAGATCGTTGAGAAAACAAAGACTCAAATGTTCGATCAGACCGACCGAGTCAAAGGATTACATGTCAGTATTGCTTATTCTTTTATTATAATAGGCTGTACATTGATATTTTGGGATAATAACTGATTTTTATTATTTCTACAGAGTGCACTCTTGATGACAGAGGTGATGAAGGAGAGGGAGGCTCAGGTTGAGCTGAAGAAAAGGATAAAGAGTGCCACTAAAGATGTGGAAAAAGAATACATGAATTTGGTGGAGATGAGAAAGAATGATGCTCTGATGCAGGAGGAAGAGAAAGCGCTCCAGAGGAAGCTTGAGAGACTGGCTATTGCAGAGGAGCAGAAAAAACAGTGAGTCTCACATCAGAGCAGTTTCATTGTCTCRACAGTTATCTCAACATATGCATCACTCTGGGTAAAGTTGCAAGAAATTGTACATTTAACATCKTATTTTATTAGAAACAGAATGAAGTATYACAGCACAGGCCCATGATAGAACCTGCAGAAGGTTTGAGTATAAAGATATTTAGTAAACATGAGAATGTGTTTTTTTTTTCTTGAGGATGAAGAAAGGTGAGTCGGCCAGAGAGAAAAAAGAGACAGAGATCAAGAAGGACAGAGAGGAAAACCTTCGCCTTCATGAGCGTTATCTGTTGGAGCAGAGAATGGAGGAAGAACGACAAGAGGAGCAGAAGAGAATCCTGAAGCAAGCTCAACTGGTAGGGTCTTAGCAACACATGTGTCGTATTGTATTGTATTTCTTTCTAAAACACAGCTTCACTATACAGGAACACGTCACTGAAAGAAACCTCATGAGAGCAGCAGAGGCACAAAAACAGGCGGCTGAAGAGGAGCAGAGGAAATTGATTCTCTCTGAAAAAGAAAAAATGATGAAGTTAAAGAAAGAGAAAGAAACTGAGTTGTTCAGGTAAGACCAGGACCCAGCATCTCTTCATCCAGCTCCCTGTGTACACCCACTCATCTGCCTGCACACTCCCAAACACTGGCTCCTTGGTTATCACAGTTTAAACCTATGACTTCCTTTACTCCACAGAGAGGCCCAGAGGCGGAGAGAGGATTTCATGAAGAAACTGACAGACCAACAGCAGGATCTAACTATCAGCGAGGATCAGAGGATTGCTAATATCATCGCTGAACAGGACGCCAGACGTGAGCAGCAGCGGAGGGAGAAGGAGGAGAAGAAGACTGCAGTGTTGAAATCCTTCATTGAACACAGACAACTGATGGTAACACTTGTTCAGATGCTACCTCTCTTACAGATTTTTTAAAAGCATAACAGACGTAGCTTTAAATGATGATTAACATAACATTCACTAAAATTCTGATAATTAAGTACTTATTTTTAGACCCAGCGGAAACCCTGTCTGTGCTGTTGAAGCAGACAAAATGTTATCACACCTTTAACACAACACTGTTTTGTCAGAGAGAAGAAAAGGAGCAGAGGGACAAAGAAGAGCAACAGAGAGCCAGAGACATGCTTGAGGCCATAAATGAGGCTGATATATTATTTTGTGAGAAAGAAAAAGTGAAGACTCAGAGGATCAGAGAAGATCTGAGAAAGATACAAGACTACAATTCAACACAAACGGTAAAGACACAGCTCATCATCTCTGCACCACTACAGAAGGTAATAGCAGTCTTCGTTCTCAAAGTAAATCATGATACTTTTTCATACTCAGGCCGCAAAAACTGCCAGGCAACAGCAACTGAGACGAGAGGAAGAGGAGTTTGAGGCAAAGACCAGAGACCTCGTGGCTGAAGAAGAAAAGCAGTTTCAACTCTATTCACAGCAGGTCATCCATGCAGCAGCAGAGGCTCAGCGAGACGTCCTCCCACTTCGCAAAGCTGCGAGGGGAGGGATCGGAGGAGGACTCGGTCCTGTTTTCGGGGGAGTCAGGCCCAGCTACATGGTTCAGGACTGCAGCGGTGCTCAAATGCCTAACAACATCTCTGGTGCTACCCAGAACATTAAAGGGCTTCAGAGAGAGTAGATATTCAGGAAGCAAAGAAGAGACTGGGGTTTATGTGGTGAAAACTACAATGTTTGCAAGAGGAGTTTCATATGACCTCATATGACTTTTCTTGTCACGTTATTACTACTCAAGGCATAAAAATGTCTCCTTAATATTCATACCCATTTGTGATCAGATTCCTTCTCTCTCTTATTACTGTTTTAGTTTTTCAGTAAAAACAAAAACAAACTTGTCCGTCGTTGAGGTTTTGTCCTTATTTTCTATAAATGTTAGACTGTAATGCTAGGAGAAGAACGCCTAAACCATGGTTTTCTCTTGAGATGGGCTAAATGTTTGAGTGGGGGGGAGGTTGGAGAGTTGAAATGGCGTCTTGTGTTGTTGAGCAGTGGTCTCCAGAAGGTCCAGTGTAGCAGCACTAAGTTCACAGTGTCTGGTCGTCTCCTGTACATGCAGGTCCTTGTCCTTCATCGTCCGGTTTAAGAGCTCACCAGCACATACACTGTTTCCTATGTCCACAATTCTTTTTCATGCCTTTATGATTTATTTATACTGACTTTGAACAGGATATCTAACTTCAGAGCTACATTTTTAATGGCAAGATTTCGATGAGACATCTTGACCCATGTCAAGACTGAGAATCTCAATCAGACCCAGACAATGAACATAAACTGTGACTTGAGAAGCAGAAGCTTTTACTGTGAATATTCATTGTATTTTGTGAGGATAAAATAAACCTATCCCCCCAAATGCTTCTCATCTTTTAAGTGGAGCTTCTGAAATGTGGAGTAAGTTCATGGGGGGAAAAAAGGAAATCGCGCCAGGGTTGAGGGTTCGTGGGGAATATTCTCATCATGGTACACAGTAAGAAGCCCAGCACAGAAGAGACACCAATGTGTTGGTGTGTATAAAGAGAAGACTGGCCATGTGCTCCAGAAAGCTCGGCCGAACACGGGAAGCAGTTAAAATGATGAGAGATGAGAGGGAATGTTTCCTGGAAACTATGTGGAAAAGATCTAGACTTGGTCTCTGGGGTCAAAGGTCAACGGAGCTCTCAACACATGGAAGAGGAAACAGCTGATGACTGAATATGTCAGTCAACCTCTTCTTTCTTTAAAGTATAAAATTGCACTAGTGACTTTAATGCTGGAAGCTGAATGTAGGCAATAGTAATTGTTTTTCTTTGTTTATAATTCTCACAGCATTAAAAGAATAGCAAAACAAGAGATTAAAATCCTAATTAAGCATTTTAATCATTCTTCACTGTAGTTGTGTTCTTAAAACCAACTTGCACAAAACACAATTCATACAAACTGATTTTATATTGTACTTACAGCATCAAAATGACATTTCTTCTTTCAAAAAGAAAAAGAAAAAGGTAAACAAAAGACAATCCAGAGATATCACTAAACCAGTTAAAAGATATGATAACAGTAAGGCTGTGGATGTACAACAAAAAAAGTAATGTACATACAGTATTTTACCTAATAATGTCAGGGCTAAGCACACATGCAAGTAGATTTAGGTGTGCGCCATCTGACTGACTGTGTAGTGAAAATAACTTGAACGGCAGACATTTACCAAATTTGGAAGTCGGTTGTCACCCCCAAAACCAACTGCTTTAAATAATATTAAAATTTATTTGAGTAGAACATGTAATCAAGGGAAAAAACTTTGTATAGTAGAATCTCAAATCTGCTTCTTTTTTTTTTCTTAACGGTTTGATATCAGAGATTTTGTTAAACCCAAAAAATCCAAAAATTGACAAAAAACAAAACACTTTCAACCCAAATTCCTCTGGTCATGTACAATTAAAATAAATTCTGGTACTGATACTAGTTTCTTATTCAGTCTCAAATCCATTTCTTTAAAATGGCTGTGCAGCTTCAGCTAACCATCAAAAGTAATATACAATGAATTCACAATCCCCATTCAGAGCCAAACAGTTTGGCCAAATTTCCTGTGCTGCCTCAGTTTCTAATGACAAGTTTAAGTAGTTACATTTATTTTTGTTTTGTTTATTGTTTGACTCTTATGCTCTCTTGTTTTGAAGGGGAATTCCAGGATTTTTTAACCTGGGGCCTATGTTTATAAATGTGGGTTTGTAAATGACAGGTACCTACAAACATTCTTGGAATCAGTCCAGTAGATTCCCTCCACCAGCAGTGGCAACACTGTCACAGTAAACATGTAAACTTATGGGGCAACTGTGACAGTCTGCAAAATTTCCACTGAAAGGACTTTTATTCACCAATGAAAGGCTCAACATATTCTGGGTCTTTGCTAAGAGCCAGTCAGGATTACACATATGCTAAACAAGGAGTCCCATGAGACTTGGGTTGTTGCAGCAAGACAGAGGTAGAAGTGAGAGATGGAGAGAGGAGTTTGTATTTTAATGAAACTATAATGGCTGAACCCTCTTCTGATGTGGACACTGTCGATGCAGCATTGGACTTGGATGGCCGTCTCTAATTGTTACCTACTCCGTACTTACAATTTAAGTCTTTATTGGTGAAAGAAAGCACTTCTAGTGGACATTTCATGGACTGTTGCGGTTACCCCATAGGATTACCTTGTAGCCACTGCTGCCATGTCGTGGCTGCTGTCAACCTACAGAGTACCATTTATTTACACTACACCATTTATATACCTGGTTGAAAAAATTCCAGAATTTCCCCTTAGGGCCATTTTTCCCTTCAATGACTTCTGCCTGTTCAGTGTATCACACTAATGGAGTTTTGAAAATGATTTTTGACACTGATTTCAAGTTCTCCTGAAAAGCGTGCGTTTTTTTTTGATGCCATGAATGAGGAATGTGAATATGTTCCACTGTAGTTAAAAAGCTGCATGTGTGTGTATAGTGGGTATTAAATGGGGACAAACCAGAAATCTGTTCCTTCGGGGTACCCACAATGGGGTCAGTCGCTGTCAGAGCTGGAGCTTGAACTCGATTTATTCCTCTTGCTGTCCTTTCTTTCTTTGCCTTTTGTACTATCTGGTCTTGGTCTGGATCTATCTGGACTTCGTCTGTCTTTAGATTTGGATTTACTATTTGGTCTTGTTTTGGAATCTGGTCTCTTTCGGCTTTTACTTTTCTCATTTCGGTCACTCTCGGAGCTGCTGCTACGTCCTCTCCTTTGGCTGGCAGCTACTTTGTCTTTTCTATGAGATGAATGGTCCTTGCTGTGATCTCTCTTATTACTCTTACTTCTGGTGCGCCTGCTTCTGTGAGAGTCTCTAGTCTTATTTCTATCTGGACTTCTTGTGCGACGTTCCCTGTCCCTGGATGTTCCTCTCCTCTTGTTCTCTCTTTCATTGTCACGTCGTCTTTCCTGACTCCTGCTTTGTTCCCTGCCCCTCTCTCTGTCCTTCTCTCGTTTTTCCTCTTTGTCTTTTGAAGTTCCACGTCTATCCCTGTTTCTGCTACTCGATCTATGTCCATCTTTTGAAGTTGTTCTTTCCTTGCTTTTTGACTTTGCTCTAGTTCTCTCACCATTTCTCCCTTTTGTGTCCTCTTTATGTTTTTTGTCAGATTCGTGGCTCTTGTTTTTATCTTTAGTACCATCAGATTCGGATTCCTTTTCTTTCTTATTACTGTCTTGGTTTTTGCTTGTTGAGCGACCTCTCCTCTCATCACTATTGTGCTTGTGCCCCTTATCTCTGCTTTTTGACCTTCTACTCTTTTCTCTGCTTTTACTGCGACTTGGAGATTTATCTTGTTTCTTTGCCTTGTGTTTTCTATGCTTCTCATCCTCTGCTGTTTCTTCCTCTTTGCTTTTGGATCTATGTGACCGACTTTTCTTGTCTTTTTTACCCTCAGCTGTTCTTTCACGCTTAGTGCTGGAGGCTCGTCTCTCTCTTCTCGGTGCTTTAGCAGCTTCATCCTTGGCTTCATTCATGTCACCTCTGTAAAAGAAAAGATTGCAGATTAATGCATTACTTTTAGCAAGGTGAAAAACATCATCAGTTTTATGACACTGATTACATTTGAAACAAGCAAGTATCTTGACACTGGTTGGCAGAAGTGTGAATCTGCAACGACTGCAGGTGCAGCCTGTTAAGCTTTTAATATTTATATTTCAAAATTAATTTTTGAAAATTTGCTTTTACAATTAACACAATAACTCATAATATTAAATTTAAAGTTGCTGCAAGGTGTATATTTTGTCAATATTACACGAATTGTCTTCCAACTGCGTGTCATGCGGTGCAGTTATGATTGAGTGATCAGACCAATAGTAAAAGCTAGATTAGCTTAACCAGCTGAAGTTTGTTTTAATACTGTTCACAATCAGCTAAAGTGAGGGCATCTTACCTGTCACCCTTAATCCAGCGCTCTCCAGTGACTGCTCTCATTCTCTGACGCTGCAGCTCTTGACGCCAGTGTGGAGGAGTTTCACTTCGCCGAAAACGGTCTCTGGACCTTGAACGAGAGCGAGATGGTGTGCGGTACCTCTGAAATGGAGAAATGACAAACCAATTAATTCTGTTCGATACAAACACTAAAAAGACTGACTCAATAGCATAAACTGTGACAAGAGTTTGGTCCACCTACCCTCGGACCTCTGCCTTTAATTTTCCTGCCAGATCTCGTCATCACCAGTCTTCTGTGATATGCTGATTGAGAATTATATGTTGTGCTAGAACTGGAAAAAAGTAATAAGTTAAATTATTATTGACAGAGCCTTTTAAATGCAACCAAGCGATTAAATTATATAAATAAATGCTTGTGAGGCAGACTAACCTCTCTCTCGGCCTTTCCTCTTTATGTCTCTGATCCTTTTCAGCCACTTCATTCGATTTTTGGACTGCCTGTGGACTTCTTCTCATGAGGAATCGGTTCTCTGGGATGGGTGGGATTTCTTCAGGACGAACAGTAGATGTAACCGTCTCCTCTTGTTCCTTCTCTTCAGCACTTTCATCTTCTGACCTAAGAAACCATTGTGGCTCAGTATAAAGTACCAAGTACTGTTTATACTGCGGAAAGTGTGGGAAATAATTAGGTACCTTTTCTTCTCCCTCTTCTTCTGTTTCTTTTTTAGCTTCTTTGCCCTTTTTTTCCGCTTCTTGGATTCTTTCTCGGACTCTTCAGAGTCCGAGGAGGAATCTGAGGAGCTTTCAGAGTCGCTGGAGCTACTGCTGGAACTGGAGGCTTGCGCTCTCTTTTTTTCATCCTTCTTGGCTGCAAATAAGTAAAAGTGTGTTACCACGACTGCTTTAAATAAGTGGGTCTCCAAAGACAATAACAGCAGAATAAGTGGAAGTTTTAAACTCCTTTAGAAAATATTGAAGATGCTCTGTACAAACAAACCTTTAGATTTGGGGACCAGCTCTCCACAGTTTAAAACTTTCACATCTGCATATGGTCGGCTGTTAGGATCTGTTTTCTGGTTCTCCATGGTTTGAACAACCTCTTGGCCAGAGATCACATGACCAAAAACCACATGGACTCTGAGAAAAGCAGAGTGATGTTGAGACATATTGTGTACATTGAGCACCTTGCAATCAAATAGATTTTCAGATGGCAATCAAGCAGCCATTACCCGTCCAGATGCGGTGAGGGTTTCGTTGTTCTGATGTGTCACAGCGGGCCATTTGAAAAACAAAAGCATATAAATATTAGGACAGGTTAGGGATGACAGAATAAAACAAAAATAAACACCTAATATGAAAACTGCTTACATGAAAAACTGGGATCCATTTGTATCTTTGCCTCTATTGGCCATCGACAGGAGGTATTCCTTGTTGTGTTTAACAGCGAAGCTTTCATCTGGGGGAAAAGGAGAAGATTATGCTGACACCTTGGATCCAACATCGGTTTGGATAACAACTGACAGCTCTGATAGTGGCCTCTTTACCTTCAAAAAAGCCTCCATAGATGGATTCACCTCCTTTTCCATTGCCTAAAATGTGAAAGAGAAATTAAAGAATAGGTAAAGGAGCTGAAGCAAAAAATAAGATTCAAGCATTTTGAAACTTGTATTGTTTTCTCGTTACTCAAACAGACAGAGGCTGATGATGGCTTTATTGCTGCTTTCATTATAAGATGCTGTCACCATATGCATACGATATGTAGGAAGTAAAACCTGAGAGCACACTTCACCATAGCCTTTGCCGCAGATTGACATGCACCATCTTAGAAATGCAACAACACACCGCAACCATGCAGACCACAACAACTAGGATTGAACCTTTTGATGTCTATGGCTCTATGCCTTCTGCTGTTTCAATGGTCTTACAAATTATCTACTCCAACATCTTCTCTCTTTTGTGCTTTGTGGTCATTTTATAGTAACATCTGTTTAATATTTATCAGCTTCAACTACAACATGATACATTCAATTTCAGTCACCACTGTTTGAAGTAAACACTCAGTGGTATAGAAGCTCCATCTTGAATCAGCATTTTGACATTTGTTTTTTAGTATTCATTAACTCACCCTCACTGAAATCTCCCCCTTGAATCATGAAGTCTTTTACAACACGGTGGAACAGACATCCCTTGTAGTGCAGAGGTTTCTGAGTTCCTTTACCAATGCCTTTCTCACCTGGAGGAAACATCAGCAATTATCATTATCAAAGGTGTGATCAGAGAAAAAGAGCTGCAGGAATCTTCTTGGGGAGGATATTTCATATTCACCTGTGCAGAGGCATCTGAAGTTTTCACACGTTTTGGGACAGATGTCTGAAAACAACTCCACCACAACTCTGCCAACTGAGGAGACACGGGGTTAGAATGATTTACTTGTGTTTTAACTGAGGTGAAACACTGTCCGAAAGTTGTCTTTGTAATATATGCACCTGGCTAAAACTAATGCAGACCTGGTATTAGCAACTGTTATGAGAGATTCAAACACAAGTGGACAGTTCCAAGTGTGTATTTCCATACTTCTCCTGTGACGAGGAGATCACAGACGTATGAAATCGTTGACTGTTACATCGTAATCGAATCGTGAGGCTAGTGAAGATGCACACTTCTAATACTATACAAATATGAAAACGCACAATACACGTCAACAAAGTCACACATTACATCCTCTCAAATGACCATAATGTGAATCACTCCTCTGGAACTGAATCAAAACAGACATTGATAACCCTCGTGCAGTTTGGACTGTCCCAGAAGACTGCGTTCGCATTACACATGTTGCCCCAGTGAACTCGCAGGTAAGTGAGCGCATCAGAAAGTGGAGAGAGGAGACGTCTGTTTCTTACCGAGCACATTACTGATGCCAATATCAAAGAAGCACCGTGTGCGCTGAGCCTTGATCCCCATTTTCACCTGAACTGATCAAAAACCTGCAGATGAGAAACACAGATCAGAGAGATGAGTGACAACAGAACGTGCGAGTAAAGAAATACAGTGCAAATCACGGTGAATTGAAGTAACACTGAAACACACATGTAACAATAATAGACGATGGTGTTGACTGTAAACCAGAGGTGTCCAACATGGCAGACTAACCGGGGGGACGTTGCTACAACAGCAGAATAATGAACAAAAAACGCGAGCTAATGTTTTTACTCGTAAGCTAACGTTCGTTAGCTAGCATTGCATTTTAGAGTGTCCCCGTTTCCATCGCTCATGTCGCGGCGGGTTCGCGTCTCTCTACCCAGCGCCAGGCCTGGTGTTAGCATTAGCACGCTCACCTAGCCTCAACCACACAACACGTATTGGGAAGAGCACAGCACACCGCGGACGGCCTCGGTGTATTAACCGCACACAGAGCTCGCCATGATCATGAGAATGTGAAACTGCACCACCTGGGAAGTGAAGCAGTCGGTCCATGCAGCAAGCGGCTCCTCGCAGGCGACGGAAATGAAGTTTCATTCAGCGCTGAGCTCAGTGTTTCTAAAGATGGCGCGTCAACTTCTGCGGAGGCTCGTGCGCACGTCAACGCAGCCGGGGAGGTTTGGTGCCCCGAGTCTTACCTGTCAGGCACAACCTCGTTGCAGGCTGCTTAAAGGGATAGTTCACCACAAAAGTAAAAAGATTCACTCACCATCTCCTCTCCACCATGCAGATGAAGGGGTGGGCAAAGTGTTTAAGTCCACAGACCGCTTTCGGAGTTTCATGGGTAAACAGTTTTGCAGACACATCCAACACAATTGCAGTAAATGGTGACCACAAATGTGAGAAAATAACAGATAAAGAAACGAAATGCCTCCATACTGCTCCTGTGGTGTCGTCGATGTGTCCGTAAACTCCTAAATGCCAGTTGTTATCCTCCTCTGGAACCACATTCACGTTTACATGCACACACAGCACAAGTTCACAGATTCACAGATTCACAGAATCCTTATGTTGTTCACAACACAGGTTTGCACAAGTCATATTAAAAGAATTAATATCAACATTTGTGTAAAATCTATCAATTGTAAATGTTGTTTTTTGGTCCCTTTTTCTTTTGAAAATCATGACACACTTTAAGAAACATGATGTTGGTTATTTTAGTCAATAAATGAAAAAAAGATTCATATCGACCTAGCGCAAGGGGGGACAGGTCTTTTACAGATTTCTTACAAATGGAAATCACTGGTATTGAAGCAAAATATTTTTTACGTTAGGAAAACATCTAGTTGCCTTCATTCTCCAGGCTGAATGAGCTGCAGCCTGAAAGACAAAACCCAGGGTTTCAAAATACGTCATGGCTACGGAAGTGAAACGTTGTAGCACACGTGCTAGGTGAGTTTGACTTTGAATGAGCGATTTTAGTGAGTCTGATGTGTTTTTGTCTCGTCTCTCATGTCTGTATCTGTGTAACCTGCAGAGACACAGCTAAGAACAGGGCGAGCAGGGCTGCTCGGGTCATCTCACTCGTCTGAGCTGGTTGTTTCTTCATCCACGTGAAGAGCTCGTTACAGAACTGGAGTGAGCTGCTGTCAGTGGTTGTACACTCTAGTCCACACCAGAGGAAAGTCACAGGAAGTGTCTCAGGACAGATGGAATCCTCTGAACCCAGAGTGAGCTGACATGTCAGGTGTTTGTTTCTTTATTGTTACAGAACCAGAGACAATGTTGGCAGGTGTGATTCAGATGAAAATAATGTGTGTTGTTGTGTTTTTCTCAGTTGATAGAGGTCCTTTAAGCTGCAGCTAACATCTTCCAGCTCCAGACTGAGATTTGGTGGGAGTGTGACCAGTCTGCTGACTCTGCTTGTCAGTTTGACAATCGACGTGGGTGGTGGTGGTGGTGGTGGACACTGTGTTGGCACAATGAAGACTCCAGTCTACACTTAACCCTGAACCCCAGGTCTGTGATCATGTTCCGGCTCCGGTGTGGGACCTCCTGCCTCCGTAGGCTCCTCCACGTGGGTACGGTTAACCGGGACCAGGTTCTGGAGCAGCTGAGGGTCTGCTCGGCAGAGGATCAGGTGTTGGACATGGTGGGCAAGCACAAGGCCAAGCTCACGGTGAGCCATGTGAGCTGTGCTGTGGGGATGCTGTGGCAGTTCCAGAGGGAGAAACCTGAAATGCTCAGGACCGTGGAGCTCATCAGGACTCACCCACAGTTCCTCACTCTCCGGGTTTTGGCTGAGAACAAAATCGCTCTAATGAATGATTTCATCCTGGTGGACATGCTTTATCATTTCCTCAGGTACCTGAACACACAGACACCGTGATCTTAAAGAATATCTATCTGAATTCTAAAACTGTATTATTGTTTTTCCTGCAGACTGAATGTGGATCCACGTGACACTCTTGTACAACAGATGGTTTCTGAAGCATGGCTCAGACTAGACCGGTATGATTACATCACATTATTTTTTTATTTTATGTTTGTTTTTTAGCCAATAAAGAGCTTACCTTTTATTTTCGCCACTGATTAATCTAGTATTAATACCTATTTTCTTCAGATAATTGTGTGATTGTTTATTGTCTATGAGATGCCAGAACATTTTGAAAATCTTCCATCATAATATCCCAGAGCCAGGTAGTGATGTGATCACCCATCTTTCAACCTACAGTCCTGAACCCTAATATTTTAAATCACATTACAGAAGCTAATAATGATAATAATGACTGAAGCATCAAGGATTTCATTGGATTTATGAATCAATTGTTTGATTAATGAGATGCTACAAATGTTTATTTTGCAGATTGCAGATGGCTTCCCTGTCTAAGTTTGCCATTTGTCTCACTGATCAGCACCTTCAACAAAGTCCTCTCATGGGCCACATCACCAGCATAGTGGATCAGAAGCTGTCGTCCATTGATGACGCCAGGTTGGTTTTTTAGAGCAAATTAAAAGTCCCCTTAAATTCAATCAAGGTGCACAACATTGCACACACTCAGATATGTGTCACCTAAATATGCCTGATTTGTTTTCATCAAGGTCTATGCATTACTTCTGAAAAAGTTCACAACATTTAAAAAAAATCTCGCAATGTTAAAGACGGGGAAAAAAAATGTTGGATGGGTTCAGTAGGTTTTGTGTAATCCTGCTGATTAATCGTAATCATCTTAATGTGAGTATTTCCTCTGGCATTGTTTTCTCAGGATCCTCACGATACTCATGATAAGCACTTCATACCTGGTGTCTACCCGGCTGCGGGACGCCTTGGTCAGCAGAGTAGATGAACTCATTGACACCATGGATCCCTCAAATTACAATAACCTTCGCAGAGTGGTGCAGTTCCTGCGCAACATGAAGTATAGCTACCATCCCCTGCTGGAGAAGTGCAACCAGCTCCTGTTGTCCAGCATTTCCCAGCTGGACGCAGAGAATATCAGCATCATCATGGGGCTGTATCAGTCGCTGCAGTTCAACCAATGTGACTTCAGGCTGGCTGCAAAAAAAAGACTGATAGAACTGATTGATTCCAGCTCTGATCCTTTCTCCTTCACTAAACTGTTTGTCGCGCTGGCTCCCTTGGCCAGTCTGGAGATCAGAGAAGGGTCAGTATCATTATAAGTGGAGTAATAAGTGCAGTGGAAATCCAAACCTTCACTTCACAGCAGTCCTCAAGTGTCACCCATCTGCTTTGTGGTTTCAATGCTTTCAGGTTGGAGAACACAGCCCTCCTGTTGGCTGACGAGCTCAATGCACAGCAGGCTCTGGCTGTAGCTGAAGCACTAGAAGAAAGTCAGAGCAGGAACCTCACCTTGCTGAACAAGTGAGTTTATACGTCTGCCTTATAGCACCTGGATAGCTTCAGGTTGGGCCAGTGTTATTGCAGATACATTAGCATTGCCATATACGTCAACTGAAAAGTAAAAAAGTACCGGACAGAATTGCAGAAAAAGTTTTTTATCATACAAGCTACCTCAACAGATGAAACTTCCCCGCTGTCATGTAATTAGACATGTTCACATTTAAATTTTGCTAAATAGAATTAAAAGTTAGTTCTTCTTGAGACAATATCTCTCCATCACAGAGATTTCCAACCAGAGAACCACAAGGGCACGATCACACATATGTGAATGCAGGTGAATGTGGCAGGTCAGATTCAAGCTGAACCCAGCTCTGGATTTACTTCGACACAGGAAGTAAATGTTTAATACGCCTCCTCATCCGCACAGATTGAGAAGTGAATGGGAGGTGAATGTTTGTCGCTGCTACATTTTGTATATGTAGCTGAAACAAGTTACATTTTAAACTGTAGAACCTCCCAAGCTTGTATATTTTTCTTTGAAAAATCCAATTACAGGGATCATCATCAGATTTTTTAAAATATGTTACATATTGTGAATATTTTGAAGTACATAAAAGCTTAAATATATTATTGCTCCATTATTTTCCAGAATTGCATCAGTGATCCAGAGGAACCTTCATGTGTATAAACCAGTGGAAGTGGCCAGAATCACACAAGCCCTTTATCTGTTGCAGTACCAGAATCCTGAACTCTTCACTAAACTAAGAAAAATCATGGTCAAGTAGGTTTTTCTTTGAGCCAGTAATACATTTTTTTGTCAACACTGATTGAACAAAAAGACTAATTACACTTTAATATCTGCAGCTTTTTGCAGCACAGCTTCTTACCCCAAGAGGTGACCATGCTGACCCGCATTCTTTGCATGCTGCCCAGCCCGCGGCTCGAAGAGGCCATAAAGTCGCGCGTGGAGGCAGTGGTGAATCAGTGCAGCCTCAACAACCTCAACACCATTTCTTCTGCCATCTCCAAGTGGGTACGGAACGATCCGTCCTACCGCCACAACACTCCCAGCAAGTACGTCCACCTGCTGCAGATTCTGAACCGCTCAAGCCATGAGAGGCTGCAGACCGCTGACCGGCTCGACCTGCTGCTCGAGGAGCTGAAGTACTCGTCAGGGGAGTGGTTTGAAGAGATGTTGCTGGAGGAGACGATAGTCACGCTGGAGAGAATGATGGATCAGATAAACTGGAACAGTGTTTCGGATCTGGGTTTCTTCTTAACCAGGATGAATCACCTCTGCCCTCCGCTGATGGACCGAATCGCCAGTGTGGTGATTAAAGAGATTGACAAGGTACTTCAAGGAACATCACACCACATTTAACCTGTTATAACTGATTATATGTTAACTTTACATTTCCCATGTAATTTTAAAGATTCACCACTCGGCAACATACGCCACCCTGCTACCCTTCTCTATCCTGAGTTATGATCCTCCACAAGCAGACGAGTTGTATGACGTGTGCATTCAGCGTTTCACTCCTCATATCAGTAAGTCAATATTGGGAGAATGGACTTTCATTCGTCCTCTTTTAAAGCTCATGCTCATGCTCTTTGTGAATTCATAGGATCCTTTGACCCACACCTGCTCGTTCTCCTGGCGTACTCTCTGGCTCTGGCTGACCGTTTCCCTGAAGAACTCATCAGAGAAATCTTCAGTATTGACTTTCTGGGAAAACTGGATTCCCAACTAGAAAGTAGGTGCCCAGTTGGAAATTTTCCACTTTTTTCAAATGGAGAATTCACACTAACGTAGAAGCGAAGGGGAGAATAAGAAAAAAACAACAACAGACAGCAATGACTTCTGGCAGATGAATTAGGGAACATTTTACTTAATCAAACAATTTGGTACATTCTGTGCATGAATTCATAATTCTGTTCCACCATTTTCATTGCAAGACAACAAAGTTAGTATGATGTGTAGTGTCCCACTGTGTATTGCTTAGGTTACGTCCTAAATCTTTTTGCCATACATCCCTAAGTGGGGTCAGAGAAGAGCTATGATAGTCTAGCTCTCACTCTTTTTAAGAAATCCACAATGACAGCAAATGTTAATATTTTCAATTATTTGTCCTTTTTTATCTTCGGCAAAATATTAATCTTGAAACATAAAATCGAGAGTCTTTCTCAATAGGACAAGTTCAATTTCCTGTTCTATCTTTCAGCTCTGCCGGATTCCCTCAACATGCGGACCCGAATGCGCCTCATGGAGCTCAATCGCGCCGTGTGCCTGGAGTGTCCTGAGTTCCAGGTGCCGTGGTTTCACGAGAGCTACTGCCAGCAGCTGCAAAAGAAATGTAACGTGGTTCACTAATATTTTCCAGAGTTGGTGGGTTGCAACTTCTATCGACTGACTCTCAATCAAACTGTCTTTCTCAGGGAATGGCTCTGTGAGTCCGGTGCAGCAGCAGATCCACAAAATGCTGGGTGAAGTTCTTGGTGGGATTAACTTTGTACAAGTAGCTGTCATCACTCCGTATTATTATACCATAGGTGAGTAGTATTTAAGTATTAAAAACAGATACAAATATATTTTATCACAACTTTTCAATTCAAATTTGAGAATGTGTTTGCACGAGGAAATCTCGTCAGTGATTCTCTTCTATACTTTGATGTATTAACTCAGTTCATATTTTTAAATCCTATAGACGAGCCTTCACCTTGTAACAAAGTGTGAAGGCTCGTCTGCTATTAGAGTCCCCACATTATGGGATTTGCTCCCCACTGAGCTTATTTGAAATCCCTTCTTTTGCAAATGATTCACATTGGCTTTTATTTACAATGATTAATCTTATTCAACTAATTATCGAATTTTATTTTATTGTTCCATTTTCTCTGTTCATGTTACATTGGTTTATTCTCATTGTTTCTTTCTTTCTTGAAAAGCACCTTGTTAACATTGTTAAGAAAAGGGCTATATAAAGAAAGTTTATTATTATTATTGTTATTAAGGTACGGTATCATTGCTCTTCTGTACAATGACATTTTCCTGTACTTGGCAACACAGGCTGAACTTCCTAAGGACATCAATATAGGGGGAATGAGAAATAGTCCACATTCGTATGATCGCATGTAACACAGCCATGTTTTTTGGTTGTTTTTTTTAGACATTGAATTTATTCTGGACAAACACCTGCAGCCACTGCCGTACACTACCCTGAGCACACTGCAGATCTCAGACAGAGGGAAGGTTCACTGGGGGCTGAGCTCCCTGGAAAATGACAAGCATGAGCTGCCGCCCGGAGCTCAGCGGTAACTAATACAGAACACGGCCTGAAATATCGAACAGGAATAATCGGATCACTCAGAAACGAAATTTAATGGAGACTGTTTTTACTCATCTTTCAGAGTGGCTGTGAACTTTCTTGAATCAAAGTGCTTCTGCAGAAACTCTCACCACATGAGAGGTGAAGCCCTGATGAGAAAACGACACCTTGAAATTCTGGGATATCGTGTTGTTCAGGTGAATAGACAAAATTTGAATAGATGTTGCATGAATCATCTCTCGTACTGAATCTGATTTAATGTTGTATAAAACACAGATAATGAAATAATAAGTGTGTTTTAATTACAGATACCTCACTTTGAATGGAACTCCATGGAGCTTTCAACACACGATGCTTGGAAGGAATATCTAAAGAGGAAAATATTCAGTGAGCTTTCTTTATGAAGCCGTATTTATTGAAGAATGAAAGAAATGTTACATTGAACACTTTCAGCCCAGTTTTTTAAATCTTGGCAGCATGAGTGAAGTTTTGATATAGTTGACTAATAATCAAGTGCGCCTTAATTTTTTTCAAAGTGCTTAACATTGACATGAATCTACATCATTCATGTTAAGAATGATTGTGTATAATGTGCTTTTGTATTAAATATCTTTAAAAAAAATTAATTATGAATCATTTGTTTTGTTCTATATTTTTCTTTTGTTTTGAAATTCTTTGAAAGGTAATTATTACAAATGAAAGTTTACAGTGTGTATATAATTTACTGTTATATTGATCTGATTTACTATTCTAATTCAAATAATCTGCTTTAACGGGAGTCAATGTGTAAAGTCCCTGTATAGAAACATAGATAGGTCTTTTCTTTTAATGTTATATTTGAATTTGCACAAATCTTCCAACATTTACATCAGCAGACATCTGACCCGTTATTGTTCTTGTATCAAAACAGAACTAATGTCTTGAAAGGGTGAAATTGAAATTTGTCAGACATATATATATATACACACACAGGGCTCAATGTCCTTAGTGAGGAGATCCAATATTTAAGAGCCCTGTTCAAAATGCTAAGGCTCATGGATATTTAGAAAATAATACATTTGGTTGAACATAAAACTAACATGGCAGCAAATAAGAGGGCAATGATTTGTTAATGCCAAAGAGTCACACTACACACTTTAGATAAATAGAAGAGGAGCATTTCCAGATTAACAGAAAATATTTATTTCTATTCAAACCATTGAAACAAAAACTTCTGGTCCAAAACCCAGTAACACCTCCATGTTAGACATCATTGATGATGAATCATGATTTATATTGAAAAAAAATACAAGTTAGCAGGATGTGTGTGATATGTTAAAATGACATTAGACCACAATGAGCCATTCTGAGGATGTACATGATACCTCTACAGCAGAAACCGGAGTGTCCCTGCACTGTTATTACAGTTTAGGCATTCTGGCTGCATTTAGACGCATGGACACACATGACGCTCCGGCTGCGTAACGCATCTCTTTGATCATTCCAGTCCACTGTTTCATGTCATCTTCATACCTGTAAAGAAGTGAAAAGATGTTAAGAGAGTTGCTTTGTACAAGAAAGTCACTGAAATCATGTTGATTACCACAGTATATTCATAAAATATGTTATATAAACCAAGTTAATAAACACTTACTGCCAAATGTCAGTGATTTCACCGGGGGCACACTCTTTGTTCTCATTCTCCACCAAAGCGAAGCCCCCCACAGCGTACAGCAGCCCATCACAGCTGACCAGGTTGACTGAACTCCTCTCCTGGGGAAACTCTGTGAAGGGTGACCACCTGCAACACAGTGCACTCAGTTGTATTAATGTGAAAGCTCCACCTTTCTGCCTATATATGGTAGAAAACTATATTTCAGTGACACAAATTAATCTTATTTCTTCTATCATTTCTCGAATTTTGGTTGACGATTTAAGACTATACAGGTGAACTGCAGAGGGATCACAAACCCAAAAGGTTGTTGACTTCTGATTTACACAACTGCAACATTTAATAACCTGAAACTGATTTGAATGTTATATTTAAAGATAAAAATGTCACAAGAACAAAAACTTAAATAGTATTTGTTTTGCAGTCTGATGCATACACTTAAAGGAGACATAATCTGCTCATATTCAGATTAACAATTGTAATCTGGGTTATTATTTGAAAAGGCTTAGATGCTCTAATATTCAGGAAATGCATCACTTTCCTCATAATGCCCATAGCTGCAACTCCTCCGTTTATTCTTTACTGAGGCTTTTTGGGCTTGGCCAACTTGACGGACCCAAACCAGACTCCCCCTTTTTACAGACACATTACAAACTTCATAACCCACTAAAGGAAAGAGAAACTAAAAATGATTACTTTGTTTACTTTTACCTGGAAATGTTAGAGCGAGCCAAAAACATATCCAAATAAGAACCCACTTTAAAGAGTCCATCCTAACTTTAACAATAAAATTGCATACTTGTTGGTTGCAAAGTCATAGGCTTCACAGGCAGCTGTGAGTCCGTCTTCATTGACGCCTCCAGCCACAATAATTCTCCCTTTGTGGATAACTGCTCCGAACATCGATCTGGGCGTCGTCATGGAGGCCACCTCCTTCCACTCTGACCTCTTGTGGTTGTATGCAAACATCTTATTGGTTGATTTACTTTAGCGGTGAGATAAAATGATTTCAACAAGGGTAAGCATACAGTGAAAATCACATCTTGACTTCATATTTATTGCTCTGACATTGCGGTCTTACTTGTCATCTGTTTTGCCTCCGATACAGTAAACCAGCCCGTTCTCAGAGACAACACAGTGGCCGTGGATCTTCAGGGGCAACTTTTTTGTCTCAGTCCACTTCATTTTTCTAAAAGTGCAGATAAAGTAACAAAGCATATGTAACTACAAAATGCTTTCAATAAGAATCCATTGAATTAACAACCAAATGTCTGATGAGCTGAACTTACTCAGTGTCATAACACATAACTGTGTCATGCGACTTGTCGGACTGTAAATCTTTTCCTGCTACAGCAAAGATGAGATTCTCAAACTCCCCTATACCGAAGAGACACCTGGGGGAGGCCATTGGTGGCAGAGCGATCCATTCAGAAGAAAGACTGTCCAACTTTAAGACACATTTTGAGATATTTGTTAAAACAAAGCCCATCAAACTGAATATAATCTAATGAAAATTAAATGTTGCCTTTCAGTGGATACACTCGGTACAAGGACAAAATCCCTATACTAATGTGTAGTACCGAGTTTACCGGCCGAAAGGGAACATTGATCATATGCACAACCTCCAGTTTCTCCTACCTGGTAGAAGTAACATTGCAACGGGTTTTCTTTGTCTTCTTCATCGACAAAGAGTCCACCCAACACATACAGGTTGTTCTTCTTTGATGTCAGACTGACATGGTTTCGTGGGATGTGCTCAGACATCGCAGCGAGAAAGCATTCGTTCTCCTGGCTGTCGTAGGCCACAGCAGCAGTGTCATTGATCATCAGCACCATGTCTTTGGCATACATGCCATATCTGCGGCTATTGTTCAGGTAGCCAGGCAACTTTTCCTCCTCTCCTTCCTCTCCTTCCTCACCATCTTGTCCCTTTTTCTTCTCGGGCAGCTTCCCAGCAAAGGCTTCCTTGATGACTTTGATTTTCTTGAGAAGCTCTGGATCGGCCTTGATGAGGTCATCTTTCTCTACCTTTTCCTTGAAGTACTTCTCTGGGAGCAAACGGAAGCGAATGCAATCGAAAGCCTCTACCAAGGATTTCAAGTGCTTCTCTTTGTCCTTCCTGATCCACTTCATGAGAGTCTCAAACACCATTTCCTCCTTTTCCACATTTAGTGCATCTGCTCCAATAATAGCAAGGAGTTCAGGAGGAGAAAGGTCAAAGAAATCCTCATCCTTGGAAATGGTTTCAAACCGATCTGCGATGTGATCTCGAGCTGCCAGTGCCAATCGGGCGCAGTTCAGCATCAGTCCCAGTCTGTAGATGGCGAGGCAGTTTTTCTTTGATAGATGCTTCTGCAGGAAGTTCACACAGACCGTGAACACCGAGGGGATCTGGAAGCGATTGGCAACAACCAAAATATCCTGCACATTGTTCTCATTGATGTCTATGTCTGCTGAGTACATGTAGTTCACAATCACCTCCATTACATTGGGATCCACGTTCTCGAGAACAACCTCAGATTTTTTCAAATCCTTGCCATCCTCAGCGAAGTAAAGCTCCCGGAAATAAGGACTACATGCTGCCAGAATGAGCCGGTGGCAGGGGATGCTCCTGTCTCCAACTTTTAAGATACAGTCGATTAACTTATTCTCGTTCAGAAGCTCTTTGAGTCCGTCCTGGAGCAGAGTGCTCTGAAACAAACGCAGATCTTCCCTCAGGCCTTGGGGATCCATTCTCTCAGGACAGGAAGTGGATGAGCAGATGAGACCTGGACCGACTGTCCCAGCTTGTGAAGACAGAACTATAGGCACTTAGGTCTGAAGCCACTTCAATATAACTGTGCCTCTCTAAATATAGCCAACCACCCCATCCACAAAGTATTCAGCTTGGCCAAATCGGAGAGCTCACACAGCTGTCACAGAGCAGAAACAACTGTGACGGCCTTGTCACCTTGGAGATTAGTGACAACATTGTTGTACGGCGCCACAGAAATAGCCACTGATCTTTTCACTCGATTTACTCCTGTCTAACTAGAACAATTAAAATATATTCTTAAAAGAATTTGAGCAAAGAACATAGTAAAAGCACCACACGCTTAACACAATGTCAGGACCATGTGCTCTACTGTGCATGATGATGGATATGGCTGGTATTTACCACAGTCAAGAGTGTTCTAGGTACTTCTAAGTGTGTAGTGAGTCACAATCCTCTCATGGAAATGACTGTTTCCTTACAGTGTGTGATATTGTGTTTGTGTGTAGTTCAGTCCATCTACTGGGAAGTTACCTAACAAGTGGACAGGGACAGTGAACAGCTGCTTTTGCAGCAGGTGACAGTTTGTCTTCCTTTCACATTTTTTAAATGCCCGTGCAGCTTTGTTGAGATCATTGTGTTCCTTCCCCATACAAATGAATTTTGTCTGATACATTGAAAAATAAATATTGTGTAACTGTGAGTAGGTTTACAGAGGGCTACCTGGCCTTTTTGATTATTTGTTATTTTATATTTAATTCATTATTTCACCGTCATCAAATTATTTATTGAAAATAATTCTTACCTCATTATAATTGTACTGTATTTTACTAATCTTTGTTGATGAGTTTACAATTGGCATTTCTTATATGTATGTTTCTGCACATTTTATGTAATTATATATATATTTAAATATTGTTTTACTTTTTAAATGTTATTTTCTCTTTTGTTTGCTTTGTTACTTTATCAAAACTCGACAAATATATTTTTGAAAAAACAAAAAACACCTAAATACTGACAAAAAAGTCCTCTACATAATTTATTTAAATACATGTATTTATTAGCTTTAAAACTGTACAAACTTTATATTTCACATTCTACCCATGACGATAAAATATATTTTATACAAATTACTCCACAATAAATTCTTCACACATGATATTGTCTTTTCTCATTATGAAAAATATGTATGGATGAGATGTATAACTTTTTACCTGAGCTATAAATAGATACATTATTTTCTGAATAATGACACAATGTACTTATTTCAGCCCATGACTTCCCACAGTCCATTAAGTGTGAAGCCATCTTTTAGCTTTTCGATGGCGAGGCCCAGGTCCTCAGAGAAAACTGGCTCACGGTCTTGTTGCTTTGAAAAAAAACAATGAACAAGTTAAGTTTAGAATATTCTACAACATACTCAATGATGTTGATTATCATTATTAATTAAAATATAAGCTTACCTTATTGCCATCAGCAAAGTAGGCCTGAAAGGAAACAAACATAAACATATTCAATTAGCTGGACCGCTTACTGTCTGTGATAATAGGTTATAGTTGTGTGATGAGCTCCACCCTATACAAACAGGAGCACTAGGCAACATAAATTCATGTTTGTTCATTCAGCTGAGGGGCATTAGCTAACAGCTATTCTGAGAGTCTGAAAACTAAACCACTGACTCCCAGAGGAGTGTCGTGGTGGCGAACAGACACACTCACAGTGAAAGCATCAGTCTGCTCATCAGGCTCAATTTCCACATCATCAGGGGGCTGTTCCACGGTGAGTTCTTCCAGGGGCTGGGGCTGCAATCATAGTCAGGACAAACAGCGCTATGACAACAAGATCAGCTGAACATATGGAAAACTATCAAAAACATTAATGAGGGTCTAGGTTAAATAAATCTGGTTTTAAAAATGACATCATATATTACACTTTTTAAACGTTTTTTCAAAGTTTAGATTTATTATTTATTATTTAAGTCAGGTATTCCTACCTTTTCTTCCATTTCATAGTCCACTCCAAAGATAGGGTTGGCAGAGTAAACCTTATGCAATGAGTTGATTTCCTTCAGGGCGTCTTGAAGCTTATCCACAGGGTCGATCTTAAATCCAAGCACGTAGCCACCACTCTAAAACCAAAACAGACAAAGTATGTTCATAGATGAATTGATCCGAGAAGGATCTCCTCTTATTACTATTCAATCATTGTTTTATGATCAGTGGAGGTGAATGACATGAAAATAAAAACTTTACCTGACGTGAACTCTCTATCACCAAAGCCAAGCCAAACTTAGAGTCTCTTATTCTGATAGACCACTTTAAGGGGAGACAGATAAGAAAACATAAAAAATACAAAGTTTCAAACTGAAAGAGTAACAAGATTATTGGTAGCAGCTCATGTACATGGGTTGTATCTGTGACTGACATGAAACATGTTAACAGGGATGGTATATGATGGTCACTACTGTCTACATTATAGTATCTAGTCCTTATAGAGATATCATTTCAAAATATTTTTATCGACAAAGAAGCAGAAAACTGTTTGTGAAAATAAAAATAATGTTTATTAGAAGCTGAAATATTAGTTAAATAGAAGGTTTGACCATTGGATCTTTATTGATATTGAGTGTTTTGTACTTACAATTTGGAGGAAAGGAATGCTGACATTGAAGCTCTCATTCATATTGGCATGCCACACGATCCGAACATTTGTGATGAAGAAAGTCCCAAGATTACCCTGAAAGAAAGAAAGAAAGACAACAGCGGAGGAGTTGGTAAAATCCAGTGACACACATTTATTCAGTTATCTATTTATTACCAATAATCACATCAAATTAACAACAGTAACTTAAATAGAGGA